ATTTTTTTAAATATTCATTTTAGTTGTAGATGAATATAATACCTTTATTTATTTACTTATTTATATGTGGTGCTGAGGATCAAACCCAGTACCTCACACAGGCTAGGCAAGCGCTCCACCACTGAGCTACAACCCCAGCCCCTTAACCATACATTCTTGCAGATTTTATGGTTATGAAGAACTAATCCTTATCTCCCAGAGTTTCAGGTTCTGGTCACAAAAGTCTCCTCCTTCAGTGGAACTTGGGTTCCTCTTATCAGCACTATTTTGGGCCTGCATTTCTCCTGCAGTGAACAGGTAGTTTGCTGAGGAATGTGATATATCCTGTCCACTAAGGTCAGGCAGGGCTGCAGGTAAATTGCTCCTTAGAAATCATGTGGGGGGTCAGCACAGTGGGCCCATTTTATAGAATTATTCTCTTAACCTTGTGTTCCCACCATCACATCTGTCTGTCCCCTAACAGTGTTATGGTTAATGGGCTTAAATTTTACATAGTAATGTGTCCTTAACTGACTACTTGTTTAACTCAATTTCCTCATCCACAAACCTGAAACAATAATAATAATCACCTAGCAGGACTGGATGTCAGAATTAAGTGGAACAAAGAGTGTAAAGTGCCAGTCATAAAGATGATATTCCATAAATACCAACTGTATTATTATAATTATCATTATTATCACTGTTTGGGTGGTACTGGGGATCAAACCCAGGGCCTTACACATGCTAGGCAGGTGCTTTACCACCCCGCTATATCCCCAGCCCTTTTATATTCTGAAACAAGATCTTTCTAAGTTGTCCTGGCTGGCCTTCAACTTGGGATCCTCCTGCCTCAGCCTTCTGAGGAGCTGGGCAAGCCTGTGCCATCGTGCCTGGCACATACCACCTATTAAATCTTACTCTGACCATCAGTATCTGGACTCATATTCCCATGGGCTATGCCCATGGCCTGGTGTTTGTGCACATGTGAGTGCGGGTCTCAGTGTCTGACCACATGTGTGCCCGGGGACCCGGCTCACCCCGACCCCTCCCCACACTCCTTTCCTGGGTAGTTGCCACCTTGATGCCATGTTGGCTGACAGCCACTGCCCCCTCAGCACTCCAGCACATGGTGTTTAGGGGAGGGCACCAGGGCCACCTCCAGGCCTAGCTGGAGGCTCCAAAACACTCTTAAGCCACCCATTTTACCAGGCCCTCGCTGAGCTCAGTTCTACCTGCTCTTCAGAGAGAGCCTCCAAACTCTCCTCGTTGCCCTAGGCCACCTGCAAGATCAGCACAGAACCTCTCTCAGTCTCACTGGGAGAATACAAGTCTCTGGTTGGCTCCTTCTAAATGTCCCTATGTCCCTGTTACCCAACTTCTTGCCCTTTCCTCTCCTTTGAGGGAAGGAGCTCTCTTCCAAAGCCAGTGCTCCGCTTGGGCACAGACCCATCCCCTTTCTCCCTGCTGGCACCTTGCTCCGACAAGTGTCCCCTCTCTGCTGCAGCCTCTGCATTCCCTTCTTTGCTGCCTCCCAAATCATGGTTGACTCTCCTTCCCTTAAAAACGCGCAACTTGCCTCTTTCAAAGTCACCCTCCTGTCCTGCTAGGGCACTGCTTAGAAGTGCCACTTCCCCTTGGCATATAGCCTGGCCAGGACCTGCCTCTCTGTCGTCCCAAACCAGGAGGCCATCAGGGCCTTGACAGGGAACTGGAGGGAAATCACTCCGGCACCTCTCGCTGCCCTCCCTCCCCATGGCAACAGCCTCTGGCTCCCCTGGCACTCCGGTTTCAGAGCCCTTGCACTCCTCCCGTCCCCTGTCTCAACGTGGAGTGCACACTTAGTGGTCTCAGGCCTTTTGCTAAAGACACAGAAGATCACTAGACACACTCCCTGCCCAGGAGCTGGCCACCTCCTTTCCCATCCCCTTTCTGATTGTGCCCTCCCTGGCTATTTCTTTCTTCCAGTCCCAGAGTGTTTCTTGGGATGCTGTTCTGACCTTCCTTCTCCCCCAGCAGTCACTGGGTTCAGACCACCACCCCAGGCAAGTAACTCCCAAACCACCTTTCCCAGCCCAGCCCCACCCAGCTGCTTTCCTCCTGGACCTTCCCACCTGCCTGCCGGCTGCTTCCTGCCACCTCCACCTGTCCCCTCCCCCTCCCAGTCTCTGGATGGCGCCTGCCCTCCCCTGGGGGGTCCAGTCTTGCTTTGCACCAGCTGCCTCTAGGTTTCCTGGTTTGCTTGCTTCCAGTCCTCAGCCCCTGCCCAAGTCTAGACCTTCACAATCCTCTGCTTAAATACTACCGCAGCTCCCTGTTGTTCTCCCTGTGGACTGTCCAGTCCAGCTCCAGGGCTGCAACTAGAGTCATTTCCCCCAAACAGTGTATGGATCCTGTCACTTCTTTGGTTAAAAAAAAAAAAAAAAACTAAGTTTTTACTTCTATGATCCCTCTTTCCCATAGAACATAATCTAATTTCAGTGTGGGATCCTCTTACTGTCCCAAAAGTATCTCAAGCTCCCGAGCTCGACCATCTAGCTATATCTGCCATCCCCCAGACAGACCCATTGTGTCCCCTTTCCACCTTTGCTCATGTCACTTTCTCTGTCAAAATTTCTTTTTTTTTTTTTTTTTGGATGACCTCAAACTTGACCTCCTCCTCCAAGGAACCTTATTTCCCCAGCCAATACCCAGGCAGGAGTAATCTCTCTCCCTGTCTCCTCCTGGTCTGTGCTGTCTTCCTGCACATGTGATTCTCTATCTTCCACTGGAGCTCTCTGCAGTCATGCCTTCTTTCTGGAACGGCAGCTAAGTTGCTTTGACTCATCTTCCTGTTCTCCTTCAGGCTCATCACAGAGCATCATGCTGTGCTTGGTGCAGAATAGGTGCTCAGAAAGGATTTGTTGAGTGGATGGATAAAACAATACATGCCTGGGTAGGTGGGCGGGGGATGGATAAGCATTTGCTTCTAGGGCTGAGCCAAATGTATAGCTAGTGTGACAATAGCTATTAGCAATAGTAAAAATCAGAGCAGAGTGGGAAGACTGTACAGCTCTTCTAAAGTGTACGAGAATGGATTTCGTTGCTTACATCTAGTTAAAAGCGTCCCACAGTGAGCACTAAGAAGACAAGGGGAGGATGAGGCTCGGAATGGAGTCTTCTCTCTTTTTTAATCTTTGGTATTTGGGGTTAGTCTCACTGAATTGCTGAGACTGACCTGTACTTGCAATCCTCCAGCTTCAACCTTCCAAGTTGTTGGGATTAAAGCGTGCACCAGCAAGCCTGGCTGAATGGGAGTCATTCCTTGAGAACCAGATGCCTAGTGTGTGTCAGGTGGCCAGAGTCTTGTCTTGGAGGTTCTAGGATTCCAAGAAGACTTGAGAAATTGAGCAGATTCTAGTCTGTACCCATGGTACACAGAATAGACACCATGAATTAGGCCATGCTGAGAAGAGTCATTTTGAGTGCCTTGACCCTGGACAAGTCTTTTTACCTCTCTGAGCCTCAGGTTCCTCATCTGCAGAATGGGTCTACCATATAGGATTGTTGTGGTAACGAGACAGCTCTCCTCGTCGTTGTTGCCCTCCAGAGTTAAGAGTCGGGCAGCGTGTGATCAACTGCTTAGTTACATGGCTCTTTTTTAGGTCCACTGAAATTCAGAGATGGGTTTGCCAGTGAGGACTAGAAGAGTGGGGAAGGGGATTTGCAGATGAACCTGGAAGCTTGGGTGGCACTGGGGAGGCAGAGATGTGGGCAGAGGTGTGCCAGGATGTGAACGAAGGCCTGGAAGTGGGAAAAAGGACTGCTTGTGTTGCAGGTGGGTGGTTTGGTGGATGGCCTGATACAAAGTACAGGTGAAAAGATTAGGAGCACCAATAGCCCCCCTCAGTCCTTTGTGGCTGTTGCCAGGAATGGCTACAGAAAACCCCCCTAAGTCATCAGTCCATGAGGAGGTAGAACTAATAATAGCTACTCCTTTACATAGAATGTATCATATTTTACACACTCTACTCTTATTACTTACCTGATACTCATAGCAATCCTGTGACTCAGGGATTATTACTACTCCTCGTTATATAGATGAGAAATATGAAACACAGGAGGGGTAAATAACTTGCCCAAGGTCACACAGCATCCAGAGTAGCAGAGTTCCTCAAGCTGAGGCACCCTGGCTTAAGAGCAGTTCCAAGCTTGTAGCCACCACGTTAACCTCCTTGTACTTTCTATAGCTGACAGCTCTCTTCATTTTGTGGCTTATTGCCAGCATATGGATAGGCAGCTCTGCTGGCACTGCCACTGCCACCCTGGACCTAGCTGGAGACTCCCTGCATGTTAAGGGGTCCAGTGCAGGGAGTGGGGGGAATTGCTGGGAGAGTCACCAGGAAGGAGAAGGCTTGGGCCTTCTCCTTCCAAGGCTTGTCTACTGCCCCAGACAAGACTTGGTCCTTGAGAGTACTCTGGGTATAGAAGTAAGAACTTCGTGGGGAGCAGGGATATGTGGCTCGGCCCCGAGGATGCCTTACCAAATGCCTGCGAGGATGACTGGTTGCTGTACCAGGAACAGGGGTGGGGGGTGTGGGCTCCCTCTGGGGCAAGCCGCCGTTTCCAGCCAGTGGCCTGGCCTCGTGCACTTGGCTCCACGGCCCCTTCCTGCCCTGCGTCCACTCTCTCCTGAGTATGACTAAGTCCCTCTGCGTTAGAGCATCCCCGGGAGAATGGGGAAAGGAGACCGACGGGGAGTGGGCCTAGCGGCCTGAAGCCGGGACTCCGGCGGGGGCAGGGCACGGCAGGTGTGAGCGCGCAGGGGATGTAAAGGCCACCCGGCACTGGGAAGCCGGCTGACCCCTGCCGTCATTTCCTTTGGAGCCGGAGAACAATGGCTCAAAAACAAGTGCAGCGCGTCCGCTCGGCCGGCCGGTCCGCACGCGCGCCTGGTCGGGGCCGAGCGAACGGAAAGCTGAGGCCAGCGCCGCGGAGACCCGAGCCTAACGGCCCTCCTGGCGCCGCCCTCCCTGTCCTTCCAGACCCGCCTCGCGGTCAGCATCCTGGAGAGTCGCCGAGGGATGAGGATGCGACAGCGCGGGGGGACGCCCTTGCTGCGGGAGCCGGGCCGCGCCTGACCCCCTGTCCTCTCCCCGCGCACAGGCCTCTGCGAGTGAGCGGCGGCGTGGCGAGCTCCGGGCCGCATGGAACGGCTGCAGAAGGTGCGCGGGCTGCACCCGCCCGGGCAGGGGGCGCAGGGCCGGGTGGGGGCGGGCTGCCCGCGAGGGCCAGCTCGGGAGTCGAGGGTGCCACCTGGTGGCCGCCCGCCGCGCAGCACGCCGGGTCCCCAGAGGCCTAGGGCAGACCCGCGCCCCCGCCCTCGCACCCACGCACATGCCCACTCGGCCGCCTTCTCGCTCTCCCCAGCAACCTCTTACCTCCCCCGGGAGCGTCAGCTCCTCCCGAGACTCGAGTGTGCCCGGCTCTCCCTCCAGCATCGTGGTGAGTACCCCTGTCGGGCACCAGCAGCCGCAGGCCGGGAGGAGGGAGGGCGGCACCCGCTTCGCTTCACTCACAGGCCCCCACTGCTGGTCCTGCCGGTGCTTGGCAGGTGGAGAGAAGCCAGAGAGCCAGGGAAGGTTCCCCACTGCCCCTGGCAGGGTCTAGCCTTGTTGCATTCAAAATGCTAGTCAAAGGACTATCCTGTCTTTTAAAACTATCTGTATCCCTAAACTTAAAACAATGAGCTATCAACTTGTGAGAGTGGCCATCTAAAATGGCTGCCCACTTTCTTGGCAACAAACTAAGCCCAGCCAGCAAGGGTGGTGCCCTAGGTGAGGCTTCCAGCACATCTGTTCCATTTACCCCATTTCACTTCAGGCCAAGATGGATAACCAGGTACTGGGCTACAAGGACCTGGCTGCCATCCCCAAGGACAAGGCCATCCTGGACATTGAGAGGCCTGACCTCATGATCTATGAGCCCCACTTTACCTATTCCCTCCTGGATCATGTGGAGCTTCCCAGAAGCCGAGAGGTGAGTGGGGTTAGGGACTGGCTCCCCAGCCCACTGGCTGGTGACTGGAATCCCTCTGGGTCGTCTTTCCTGGAAGCCAGACTTCACCCAAGGAGAAAGGGACTGTGCTTGGGAATCAGGTGGGAATCATGGAATCGACCTGAATGACCAACCAGCATTTGGCAGAGAGCAGGCAGAAGAGCTCAAGGTTAGGGTGGGGCCACATGTAGGGAGCTGGGGGGCCACATGTAGAGAGTTGGGGGGGCCACATTTGAGCAGCGTCTCAAAGGGTGCGAGTAGGCAGCAAGAACAAAATGTGTAGAAAAAGCTTGGAGCTCTGAACTTAGAGGCTTGCAGTCCTAACTCAGGGCCCATTATGAGGTTGGGGCCTCTGTTTCCCCTCCTGTAACACACAGGTGACAGATAGCTCTGTTTGTCCACCCACAAGGTGCCTGAGGCAATACATGGGCAGGTACTTTGTCATTTGTATTTAAGAAAGGGACAGGGTCATGGCTGAGCAGTGAACTGGGGCCAAACTGTGGAGAGAGATTTAAATATCTGGCCAGGGAGCCCAGACTTCCTTCCTGGGTGCTTGATGGCATTGTCCCTGCCATTCCTTGTTAGGCTCTGAGGACAGGGCCTTAGCTGGTTGGCAGTTGGCCCTCAGAGCACCGAGCACACTGTTCCAAGATGGCGGGCTGCTTCGTGCTTCATACGGAAAGACTCAGGACTGGGTCCTGAGAACACTGGGAAGAAGGATGGAAAGCCCGAGCTTGGAAATGGCAAGGATCCCAGAGAGAAGAGAGTGGGCTAGGGAAGTGGGTGGAGTTGGGTGGAGGATGAAGAGGCCCCTTTGAGGTTCCAGGGATGAGGGTTGGATCCCACCCTTGTGACTCTGACCAGCCCCCTCTCCATTCACAGCGCTCTCTGTCGCCCAAATCCACATCCCCCCCACCATCCCCAGAGGTGAGTCTGTCCCACCCTGAAAGTTGCCCAGCCCTGCTCTGATGGGGCCCCAGCTCCCCTCCCCCCAGATATCCAGATTGAGCTCTGCCGAGTACAGGGGATGACAGACTCAGCAGATCCCAGCCCGACGCTGGCCAACTCTGTGCCCATCTGTCTGTCTGACCCAGGACTCGTTTAACACTCTCCCTGGGCAGATGGAGTCCTTGAATGCCCTTCCTCTGCCACAGCGTCGCTCTGGGGCTGGGATGTGGGCTGCCTGGGTAGGAAGAGGGAGAAAGGTGAAGTGGTGTCCCTGTGGGCCCGAGGGGCTACGTGGGGGACCTGGAAGCTGCACACTTCTGTTCTGCAGGTGTGGGCGGAGAGCCGGACCCCTGGCCTCATCTCTCAAGCTTCAGCCCCGAGAACCACGGGAACCCCCCGCACCAGCCTGCCCCACTTCCACCACCCTGGTAGGTGTGGTTGCCACACGGCTGCATCTTCTCCTTGTCACTCTCCTTCTTCTCAAACCCCTATTCTCAATCCCCTGTTCTTAGGGATATGAGCTCACCACAGACCTGGCTGGACCCCAGGATATCAGGACTCAGGCAGAGCTACCATGACAGTGGGCCTGTCCTGTTTCCCTCCTCCCCAACCCCCCTGAGGGTCAGTTCAGGACCTCCAGTTCTGTCTGGGCTCTTGGTCCTGTCCCATTTGTCCCTTCCACTTGTCTCCACTCTCCAGCGTCTCCTGCCGTCAGCATGTCTCCCTCCCTTCTCATCTGCTCTTGTTCCTTGTCACAGAGACCACCCGCCCAGACTCCAACATCTACAAGAAACCACCCATCTACAAGCAGAGAGGTGAGGGTCCCCCAACTTCCCAGGGTCCCCCTTCCTGCCACATGCTGGGGGGCCGTGGCATGTGCCGAGGGGTGCCTGGGAGGGGACAGGAGATTAACCCTTCATGACATCATGTGATATTTGTCCTGTGCTCCTTGCAATCCATTGCTTCTATATCCAGGAGCTCACAGGTGTGAGGGGAGAGGTGCGGGAGCTGGGGGCACACTGGCCAGGTGGGGTGGGCTGTGTGGGTGCCAACTCTGGCCTCTGTCTGCAGAGTCCATGGGAGGCAGCCCTCAGAGCAAGCACCTCATCGAGGACATCATCGAGTCGTCCAAGTTCCCCGCAGCCCAGCCCCCTGACCCCAACCAGCCGGCCAAGATCGAAACCGACTACTGGCCATGCCCACCGTCACTGGCTGTTGTGGGTAGGAAAAGCTGGGAGAGGGGAGGCTGGGACCCCTCCTCACTACTCCACCTTGGTCCCTATTAAAGGGCCGTGAACCCAGTTCCACCCCACCCCACCCCATGCCCTGTGGCTTTTAGACCTACATGAACTGTCCCCACCCCACTGAGCACCTGCCCCTGCTCCCCTGTGGCACTACAGTTAGTCATTCCTCCCAGTTCCCTTCATTGATCTGGTCACTCAATAGATATTTCTTAAACTTCTGCTGTGACCCAGGCCCTGTGATAGGAGCTCTGGAAGAGAGAAACAAACGAGAGGACTTGTTTCCAGGAATTTAAGCCATGTTTTTTTCCAGTCCCTGTTTTCTTTCATACCAGGGATTGAACCCAGAGGTGCTTAGCCACGGAGCCGCATCCCAGCCCTTTTTATGTTTTACTTAGAGACAGGTCTCGCTGAGTTGCTTAGGGCCTTGCTAAGTTGCGGAGGCTGGCTTTGAACTCGAAATCCTCCTGCCTCAGCCTCCCAAGGTGCTGGGATTAGAGGCGTGCACCACAGCGCCCAGCCCCATGTGTCTGTTTTCTACCCAGCTTCACAGCAAGGGGAGGAAATGTTACTCTTACTTTGAATTTTTTTTTTTAAAGTAGGGATTGAACCCAGGGGTGCTCTACTACTGAACTACATTTCCAGCCCTTTTTATTTATTTTTCTTTTGAGATAGGGACTCTCTAAGTTGTTGAAGGACTGCTAAGTTGCTAAGACTAGCCTCAAACTTGTGATCCTCCTGCCTCAGCCTCTCAAGTTGCTGAGATTACAGGCATGTGTCACTGTGCCCAGCTTTATTTTTATTTTTATTTTTTTTAGTTATTATTACTATTTTTGGTGCTGGGGATAGACTTTGTGTATACTAAACACATGCTCTACCTCTGAGCTACACCCCTAGCCTCTATTTAATTAAATTAATTACTTTATTAATTTATTAATTTTTATTTATTGTGGTCCTGGGGATTGAACCCAAGGCCTCATGCATACTTGACAAGTGCTCTACCACAGAGCCACCTCCCAGCCCCTTTATTTTATTTTTTGGGGGTAACAGGGATTGAACTCAGGAGCATCCAACCACTGAGCCACATCCCCAGCCCTATTTTGTATTTTATTTTAGAGACAGGGTCTCACTGAGTTGCTTAGTGCCTTGCTTTTTCTGAGGCTGGCTTTGAACTCACAATCCTCCTGCCTCGGCTTCCCCAGCTTCTGGGATAACAGGCATGTGCCACCGCACCCAGCTCTCCCTTTATTTTATTTTTTTAAAGGACTTTTAGTTCTGGGCTTGGTGACACAAGCTATAGTCCTACCTACTCCAGGGGCTGAGGAGGGAGGATTACTTGAGCTCATGAGTTTGAAGCCAATCTGGACAATGTGGCAATACTCCCATCTCAAAAAAAAATTTTTTTTTTCTTTCAAATTAAAAAACATTTAAATAAAAATAAAAAAGAATTTGTAGCTCATCAAGAGCCATCCCAGTGCCATGTGCAGCGCCAGCCTCTGAGACACGCTTGTTGACCCCTGGCTGATTGGCTGCGCTGCCTCTTGTCTCCTAGAGACCGAGTGGAGGAAGCGGAAGGCATCTCGCAGGGGGGCAGAGGAAGAGGAGGAGGAGGAAGATGACGACTCTGGGGAGGAGATGAAGGCGCTCAGGGAACGTCAGAAAGAGGAGCTCAGTAAGGTAGCATCTCGTGCCCCCTTGTCTTCTGGGGGACCGGCGTTCTGGTCCTGTAGCTAGTCCACAGGGTTCATGGCAGAAGAGCATCCTTGTTGAACCAGTGAGAAATCCCTCTTCTTCCCGGGATTCCAAGTGCTGCTTTTGAAGGGACATTGGGACTTCTAGCTGCTTTGGGGGGATGTTAAAGCACCGAGGAGGGTGGGCCCAGGGCACCAGGCTCAGCAGGACAAGCAGGTCAGGGGAAGAGAAAGGAGAGATGGGCGACTGGCCCAGGGAAGGGGAGAGAGTTGGGAGCCATGGAAAGGCTACCACCCATGATATGGGCTTGGGCTTTGGCCATGGTGACATGGGACAGGGAAGTCACTGCAGCAGAGTTCACCTGAGTGCTTTGAAGAACCTAATGTGGCTGTGGGGAAAGAACAAGGGCGTCCCTGGGCCCCAGGGCACAACCCAGCCACCTGGGAAAACCCTTCCTCCTCCTTCCTGCAGTTCCCAACTCTGGGCCTTGCAGAGGTGAGAGATGAGTACCTGTGTCTCAGCCTCATCTTCCATTTTCCTTCTTCAGGTTACTTCCAACTTGGGAAAGCTGATCTTGAAAGAAGAGATGGAAAAGTCGTTGCCTATCCGGAGGAAAACCCGCTCCCTGCCCGACCGGACACCTTTCCATACCTGTGAGTGCTGTAAAGGGGTTCAGAATCACTTGGCCAGACCCGGGCTGCACTGCAGTTGTCTGTTGAGTTGTGAGACACAGAAGGTGCGGGACCTGGTGTGGGTCAGCAGGTTTTGTTTAATTTAACCAACACTAACCGAGGGTCTGCCACGCCCTGGGTACCGGGATATCACAAGTGAAAAAGTCCAGTCTCATCCTCTGCGAGCTTATGGTCAATGGGGAACTGACATGGAACCTGGGGTTCTGGCACATGTGGCAGGTGTTGGGACAGAGGGTGCAGTTGGTGTTTTGCGAGGACAGTGACAGGGCCTGGTGGCTAACCTGTGTCTTAAAGAGTGAGACAGTGAGACAGACAAATGAGTGAGGAAGACCGTCATCACAGACATTGGGAACAGTGCAGAGGCATAGGAAGGGACATGAAGCCTCCTGGCCTGCTCAGAGAACTGCCAGGAGCCAGGATTGCAGAGCACAGAGGAGCACGCAGTGAGGCCAAGAGACTGGTGAACCGGGGCCTCGAGTGCTGGGCTTTTGGTGACCCCAGGTTTGCCTGGACTTCCCTAGAGCATGGTGACGATAGAGAGGAGAGACCTGGGGACCCCAAAATGAGAACTGCCAGGCCTCCTCACAAAGGCTAATCTAAAAGCCACATAGCATTACTTCTGTTGGCCAAAGCAGGTCATGAAGCAGCTAGACATAAGGAGGGGAGATAAGCTCTGCCTCTTGATGCAGGGAACTTAGGGTCGTGTTGCAAAAGGCAAGCAGGATAGGCATTGATAGTCCCAGCCATCTTTACAAATGATCTGTCACACTCTCCAGTCATCTGAGTGTGTTAGCTTTCCATCACTCTAGCAAAATACTTGAGGCAGCTAACTTTATAAATAAAAAAGGTTTGTTTAGTTCATAGTTCTAGAGGTTTCGGGGCTCACATCTTGCTTGCAGAGTACTGAGGTGGCACAGGGTTCACATGACAACAGACAGCAGGTGCAGGTGTGCGTCTGTGTGTCTGTCTGGTTTCTCCCCCTCTTCTTATAAAACCATCAGGATTCAATCATGGGGGTTCTATCCTGATGACTTATCTAATCCTGATCACTTTCCAAAGATGCCACCTCTGCACATCATAGCTGGATTAAGTCTTCGTCTTGTAGCACCTCACAATGAGGATTAGATTGCACCACAGCTTTGGGGGACACACTCAGACTGTACCCAAACCATAGTAGTAGGAGCAGCTGTAGATCTGCATGGGCTCAGGAAGGGGGGACGGATCTGAGGAGTACCTAGGAGGTGGAATGCCCTGCTGGGAATTTGGTGGCCCGAAGGATGTGGGGTGGGGAGGGAGGAGTAGGGCCTTGTCTTAAGTCCTGGGTGACAGACTCAGAACTGAGATGACAAGAGGTAGGTTCCAGGGAGAGGAATGGCCTGGTTTCAGGAGGGTTGGGTTTGAAATGTCCTGAAGAGCGTGTAAGCAGGGACCGAGTTCGGCTGCGCTGGGAGCGTGAGAGCCTTCAGCTTGGAGGTGGTGGTGAATCGGTGAGAGGATAAGGCTGTGGGTAGAGGAGGGAAGGACAGGGCGCTCAGGCTTTGCCCTGGGGGACACCTCAGTTAGGATCCAGTGGGAGGGCTGGTTGAGAGCAGCATGGGAAGGGCACAGTGCCTCGGAATGTGGGAGGCTGGCCTCCCAGAGGGCCCCTCCTCTGAGGCGTGAGGACAGCTGTGGGGACAGGCCAGCTCAGGACTTGAGGTTGTCTGCTGTGCTTCTGTGTGAGGTGAGGGGATCAGGGACTGGTGCAAGGCTTTACCTTGATGGCTGGGTTTCTTTTTTTTTTGCGGGGGGGGGTGGTGGTACTGGGGATTGAACCCACGGGTGCTTTGCCACATCCTCAGCCCTATTTTGTATTTTATTTAGAGTCAGGGTCTCACTGAGTTGCCAAGTGCCTCGCTGTTGCTGAGGCTGGCTTTGAACTTGCGATCCTCCTGCCTCAGCCTCCCGAGCCACTGGGATTACAGGTGTGTGCCAGTGCTCGTGGCTTACCTCGATAGTTCTGCTGATCCACAGTATGGGATTCTTCCTCCATGGCTGGCAGCAGGAGGGCAGAGGTTGGGTTGATTCAAGATTAGTGTGTGTAAGGCAGGTGCTGAGGGCCAGGGAGGCCAGCACACTGCTGCAGAGGTGCCTGACCAAAGGGAGAAGCTGAGAAGGCACTGGCTGTGGGCATGTGAGAAACTGGAGTTCTCTAGGAGATGGAGGAGCCAGGGTGGTGGGGTGGGACTGAGCGGGAGCTACAAACAAAGACGACTGCGGCCACCAAGTGGGTGTCTGACAGCTTCGAGGTACAGCTATGGTGACCGACAACAGGCTCTGGGGTGTGACCCTTTGTTTTTCTGTCACTGGAGATGGAACCCAGGGGTGCTTTACCACTGAGCCACATCCCCAGCCCTTTTTATAAAAGAGACAGAGTCTTGCTGAGTTGGTTAGGGCCTCACTAGGTTGCTGTGGCTGGCCTTGAACTTGCAATCCTCCTGCCTCATTGTCTCCAGTTGCTGGGATTCTGGGTGGTGTGTACTACCCGCTTGGCAGTTCTTCTGATGAACAGAGGGAGAAGCCCCTGGGACTGGGAATTGAAGGACCTATAGAGTGACACGTGGCTAGGATGTGGAGAGTGCCCAGGATGCAGCACAGGGTGAGAAGTTCCAAAAGGCATCTTAGAAAACATGCACTCAGTAGTCAAGGGCTGGAGAAAGGGGTAGACAGAAGGATGCTCCAGATTGGATTCACCCTCAGTGTTCTACCAGGTTCTTCTGCTCAGCCAAAAAAGAGCCTGTGACTTCCTTTTGGGCTTTGTGAAGTCGAATAGCCAACTACTACCTGAACGCCACTTTCAGCATGGACTTATGCATGATCCATGGTCATGGGATTCTGTAGGTTACTGTCGTATTTGATCACCCTTAACAGTTCTGAAGCATGACAGGCATGCCTTTCTGACTAATGGTAGCCTCGGAACTGTCAGTATCAAACATAAGTAAGGAGCCCAGCACAGTGGCACATGATTGTAATCCCAGCTACTCAGGAGGCTGAGACAGAAGGATCACAAGTTTGAGGCCAGTCTTGGCAATTTAGCGAAACTCTAAGCAACTTAATGTCTCAAAAAAAAAAAAAAAAAAAAAGAGTAGGGATGTGGATCAGTGGTAGAGCTTCCCTGGGTTAGTTCCCCTGTAACAAACAAAAAAACAAACAAGCACAAAATATCGGTAAGCACCTAGAAGTGATTTGCAGTGAAAAATCTTCCTATGTGTTTGGCAGGTTGAGATGGCATCAGTTGGTCATGGTATAAATGTGTACTTACTGCAAGAGTGCACAGCGTTTCAGTAATGAATGGTGATTGCAAAAGCTGATGATTTCCCATACTGGTTGAGTATTTCTTATCTTAAATGCTTGGGACTAGAAGTGTTTCAAATTTTGGAGATTCCCACCCCTTCAGATTTGGGAGTATTTGTATAAACTTTACTAGCTCAACACTCCTGATCCTAAAATCTGAAATCAGAAATGATGCTACGAAATCCAAAACCTTGTAAGCATGATGTCAGCAAAATTTTGAAGAACTTAAAAAAATAATAATCACAGTATTTTTATTCCCTTGTCAAGATTTGCTTAGAAATGGGCATTCGAGTTTATTCTGGTCAACACAAAGTGAGGGGGAGTTTGTCTTGGAAAAAAGTGTGACCACTCTCACAGAAAAGGTACAAAGAGAAACTAGTTCTTCTTCTTCTTCTAGAGATGTCATGCCTGGATGTGGTACCTAAAACTGTTTTTGAAGAATTTCAAAATTTTAAAGAATTTCAAAATTTCAGATTAGGGATGCTAAACTTGTCCAAAAAGAATCCTTAGGTTCCCCCTGGGTGTGTTGGTGCAGGTCTGTAATCCCAGCATCTCAGGAGGGTGAGGCGGAGGGTCACAAGTTCAAGGTCAACCTTGGCAACATAGGGAGACCCTGTCTCAAAATAAAAAATAAAAAGGGCTTGGGATAGCTCAGTGGTAGATTGCCCCTGGGTTCAATCCCCAGTAGCAAAAATAAGTAAATTAATAAATAAAATAAAAGAATGTTTTTAGGAAGATAGCTTCTTACAGTTTCAAATCTACCGAGGCTGAACAAATTTATGCATGTATATGTATTTGTTTATTTATTTATTAAGCATGGGAAGAGACTTTACTCAGGACCCTCATAATAGATATCAAGACCTTTGCAAAGGGATCTTGGAGTGGAGGAGAGTGACTGGGTTTAACTCTAAATGCAGTGTAAGCAAGCAGGAGCTTACAGCAAGGAGCATGGTGTGTGTGTGTGGTGGGGGGGGGCAGGGTGTCAGTGGCTAGAAAATGACTAAAAGGAAGATCAGGGTGAAGGGAATTCTGGCTAATTTGACCATACAGGATTCTTTTTAGAGACAGAATAGGGTGACCAGACATCACCCAGGGAAGGTAGCAGGTGAGGAGCCTGACCAGAAGTGGAGGATGAACAGGCATTGGGGAAGCCTGTGTTCTTGCTAAACTGACTGAGCAGGATTCTTTGATAGCCCTGGATTTTACAGGAAAATGCATCCACCAGCCAGGTGTGGTGGCGCACACCTGTAATTCCAACGGCTTACAGGGCTGAGGCAGGAGGATCTTGAGTTCAAAGCCAGCCTCATCAATTTAGTAATGCTCTAAGCAACTCAATGAGACCCTGTCTCTAACATAAAAGTACAAAAAAAGGTGGAGGGCACTGGGGATGTGGCTCAGTGGTTGAGTGCCCCTGGGTTCAATCCCTGGTACAGAGAGAGAAGGAGGGAGGAAGAAAATGCACCAACAGGCATAAGAGAGGGTTCTGCAGTCTGGCAGAAGTTTGGCCAAGCTGAGAGAGACTCTCTCTCTCTCTCTCTCTCTCTCTCTCTCGCTCTCTTTCAACATTTTGATAGTTGTCAATGGACTTTATTTATTTGTGGTGCTGAGGATTGAATCCAGTGCCTCACACATGCTAGGCAAGCGCTTTACCTCTGAGCCACAACCCCAGTCCCGGTTTCCCATCTTGTTCAAGAAAAGAGACATTCTTCTCTCCTTTGAACAATATAAATCCATATTCTCATTTGGTTGCCTTCGATTTCCTAGGAACCAGTCGAATCATCTGTTGGGACTGAGGAATAAAGAATAGTTGCTGGATGGTGCTAAAAGCCAGGGATTTAATGAGAATGAATTTCTATGCAAATAAATAAAAATTGGATTATTCCTGTGGTGGGAAACCCAGTGTCTGAGTCCAGAGGGAAGCCAGCTGAGATTTCTCAAAGTTGGTTTTGAGGATAATGATGATCCAACAGATATTCTGGTTTGCAGCTTGAGTGTCTCTGGGGATGGCATCCAATGTTCTGATTAACCTTCTGAGTGACCCAGAGCCAGCAGCTTGTCTTCCTTTATAATCCCCAGCCACAAACCTTCTCAGTAGGAGGAGTGAAGTTTTGCAGTACTAGTTATCTGCTAGGAAGAATCCGGTCTCCCAGGATTTTCTTCTGCCTGTATTTTAGAATTTCCAAAGTCTGCTTAATTTCAGGAATCTGACCTTTTAGCCTCTTTTTCTTTTAAGCAAGTTTGAGTTCCGTAAATGTATACATTTGGTACTGTTCACCAGCTTCTTCCGTACTATATGTGCAGTCTGCTCCTCAGGCTGTTTCAGGAAGGAATCTCCGTCTTCCACAAACATGGCCTCAGGAATCCCCAGGTGGAGGCACAGCCTGTTCCCTGCAGCCACTTCTCCTATGCCAACGAGAGGCTAAACAAATTTAAGCAAAAATACCTGTCAAAACAACTCCTATAGAGCCTGTATGTATACTGTGTGCAATATAGGTAGCATATAAACTGCACAGAGCCTGTGGTGGTGCATGCCTAGCTGACTTGGGAGGCTGAGGCAGGAGAATTTGCAAGTTTGAGGCCAGTCTCAGCAATTTAGCAAGGACCTAAGCAACTTAGCTAGACTCAGTCTCAGAATAAAAAACAGAAAGGGATGGGAATGTGGCTCAGTGGTTAAGTGCCCCTGGGTTCTATCCCTAGTACCAAAACCAACCAACCGAACAAAAAACAACTGCTATAGAATGCCAGCTATTTCCAGTAATTGGGGATGAAGGAGCACATTTGGGGAGGTGGGGCTGGGGCTGGAATCCAAGGTCTCACTCATGACAGGCAACTGCTCTACCACTGAGCTATACCTCCAGCCCAGTGAAGGAGCTTTGAGATCCATTCAAGCTAAGAATCTTAGTTATGAAGTTCTTTCTAGCAAAGAACGTTACTGAAATCAATTTTCTAGGATTGTTATCCACAGTGCTTGGTTTCGAGGTCTTATGAAATGTGTAAGTTGCTAGGGACATCCAGTAACAGAAATGTGAAGTAGGCTGGCTGCTGGTGTGACCTCCAGCCGACTGTGCCCAAATGTTGATGGCTTCTATATTATAACATCGGATGTTCAAAATTTGATTGCTGGTTGGGTGTGGTGGCACATGCCTGTAATTCTTGTGAGTCTGGAGGCTGAGGCAGGAGGATCACAAGTTCAAGGGCAGCCTCAGTAACTTAGCAAGATCCTGTCTCAAAATAAACAATAAATATGTTTGGGGTTGTAGCTCAATGGTAGGACAACCCTGGGTTCAATCCCCAGTACCACAAAATAATTTTTTTTGTTTGGTTTAGTAACAGTGTTAGTTAAATTATAATAATAATTCAATTATTTTGGTTAGACTTAGGTTTATTTGTATATCCTAGAAGCCTGTTTCATGACAGCAAGCCTCTACTTTGGCTCTGGATTTTCACACTTAGACTTTTGGTCCAGTTGGGCATTTGGTGTGCTTTTAGTTAGAGAGGAGGGAGGGGGCAATCTAGATAGATCACGAACCCCAGCACTGTGTCGCTTGCTGAAGTCCACGGGTAGCAACTGGGAGCCAGCCAGAGCGCACTGGGATCCCCGACTTCCCCTGTCTCTGCCCACCACTGGCGGGGGAGGCCAGCAGGGCAGCCCTCTCGGGAAAGACTATCAGGTCCGAGGGACTGAGCCTCTTGCTCTCTTCCAGCCTTGCATCCAGGGACGTCTAAGTCGTCTTCTCTCCCCTCCTATGGCAGGACCACCCTGAGCAGGGTAAGGCCTCAGGGTCGCAGGCTGGTGGGAGAGGCTGCATGCAGGGTGCTTCTGGGGGACTGAGCGCGGGGGAACGGGGAGGCCTTCAGAGTGAAGGGGACCAGTGCGGAGCATCCTCAGCTTCCTCTGATCCGTCTGTGTCCTCTCCTAGCTACAGTCCACAGACTTCAGCCCTTCAGGAAGTGAGGCTGGAAGCCCAGGTGAGAAGCGGGCTGGAGAAGGGGGAAGGGGCAGCCTGCGGGTGGGGGTCTGCATGAGGTGGCGGCTGCTGAGCTGCCGGGGGTGTGGAGCTGCCCTACCTGGGCTGGCCTCTGAACAACACTCTTATCTCCCACAGGCCTGCAGGTGAGTGCCCCCTGGAGGGGAACAGGCGGAGCGCCAGGAGCCAGGGCCGGGCACCTGGCAGTGTGGGGGAAGGGGGGTGTGGGGCCAAGGAGTGAGCTGGAGGAGACCGAAGAGGCCCAGGGTAAGGCTGGGAAGGTCTCCCTGCCCCACTCTGGCTCACTGCGGCTTTGGTCTCCCCAGAATGGAGAGGGCCAGAGGGGGAGGATGGACCGGGGGAACTCCCTGCCCTGTGTGCTGGAGCAGAAGGTGAGGGCAGGGGACCTGACCGCCACAGCGGGGTGGGCAGTGGGGGGGTGAAGCCAGGCAAGTTGGATGCGCTTGGGGTCCTCCTGGAGATGGTCCGGGCAGCAGCAGGGGAGCTGTGGGAGGTGGATGGCGAAGTGGCATGAACCTCAGTGGCCTCTGCAGGTGGACAGGGGGCCTGGGGAGGAGAGGGGGAAACGTGGACAGGAGCTTCTCCGAGCCTCAGATGCCCTCCCTGCCCCCTCAGATCTATCCCTATGAAATGCTGGTGGTGACCAACAAGGGGCGAACCAAGCTGCCTCCAGGTGTAGATCGGATGAGGCTTGAGGTATGCAGGGGAGGCCCTGGGGGCGTGGGGCTACCAGTGGGGCTCCTCTCTGGTGGGGAGAAGACCTGGGCCTCTATTTGTGTCCCCTTAGTCCTTGGCACAGCCCCCACCCTGAGCTGCCTGTGTGTCCCCTCGCAGAGGCATCTGTCCGCGGAGGACTTCTCGAGGGTCTTTGCCATGTCTCCTGAGGAGTTCAGCAAGCTGGCCCTGTGGAAGCGGAATGAGCTCAAGAAGAAGGCCTCCCTCTTCTGACTGCCTGCCCTCCGTCTCCACGACCAGCCCCTCTCCTATGCTGCTTCAGGGCCCTGGAGCTGGGGCCACTTGACCCCGAAGCGTCCTCTTCCCCTGGTGGGCTAGGAGCAGTGGGAGGCGGGGCACAAGCAGAGTGGGTTCCATTCCTCAGGGCGAGGGGGTGCCCGGGCCTCTGCAGTCCCAGAGCCGTGAGGCATGGACTTCCTTCCCCACAATGGGCCGGGGCCTCCTTCTCTTGTCCCTGGTCCGCACTGCCCAGCCAAGCCCAGCACATACAGAGTTAAAGTTTGCACCCTCTCCCTGCCTGTCACCCCACACAAAGGTCCCCAGAATCAGGTGAGGAGAAATGAAGGGTGTGCTAAGTGGTTAGACTATCACCTGTCCTGCACAGTAGGTGGGATGAGGCCAGGTAGGGACAGCTCTGGGACCCTGTGTCCGCCTGCCCAAGCACTCCATTCCCTTCTGACAGCTCCCTGCGCCTGGGCCTCCTGCTTCTCTGACTGGCAGGAGCAGGCTCCAGCGGGGCCTCCCGCAGGGCGGTCTGCCTACCCTCCAGCTTGCCCTGTCTTCTATTGTGACCCCCAAGCTTTGAAGCCTCCTACTCGAGCCCCATGGGCATCCGGCATCCACTGAATGTGTGGAGAAGCCCTGGCTTAGAGTGGAGATGCCGCCTATACAATGCCTGGCCTGCCACCAGCCTTGGGGAAGCCAGCCAGGGTGCCTTCTAGCACCTGCCCAGGGACCAGAGGAGCCCAGGCCTTGAGCCTCCCAGGAGGCAGGCTCAGTCCGTCTCTGAGAGTCCTGGCTCCCAGGCCCCGCCCACACCCATGCACCCCCCACCATGCTCTCTACAGAATGTAATTTATTGGGGGCACCCCTGCTGCTTTCCTCACCCGACTCCCTGCCCTGCCCAGTCACGTGCCCAGCTTTCCTCCTCTCCAGATGCGTATGTGTATATAATTATATATATATTTTTGCCCAGGTCTGGGTTTTGTTCCTGCCCAGACCCTGGCATTCCCTTTCCATGTGTGTGTGATCATGCTGGGAGGGGGGACTGTGCTTGGAATTAAAAGGTTGCATTGGGTCCCTAAATCTGTTCGTTCTCTGTGAGCCACCAGCCCTGGGTGAGAGGGACAGAAGCCGTGGGAGGGAGGGTTCACATGGGACCACATAAGAGTTGCAGTGGGTGCAGAGATGGTACCCACACTACCCTGCCTGAGCCCCAGGCCCCAGAAGCAGGGGCTAGGTCTAAGCATCTGCCTCCTCTCCGTTAGGGGCTCTGTGATGGTGGCAGGGAGGTGGCAGGAGGGAGACAGAAGCCTTAGTGTTTAGGGCTGGAGGGAACTTGAAAGGAAGCTTGAGGTGACCACCTCTGTCTTCCTCCAGGACCCTGAGTGCTCACCTTGGCCGTCAGGCTCATCAGCATCAGACCTGATTGCACCTCCCTGGGGGGGGGGCCAGTGGGGGAGGGGAAAGGCGTGTGAGGGTGTGGTGAGCTGAATGTCAGGGATCAGGCAGGGCAAACAGGAAGCAGCGAGGGACAAGTGAGGCCATGGGAGGAGGCCCGTGATTGGCCGTGGTTGATTGGGCAAAGCCTCCCAAGGGACACAGACGTGGCACGGCATGGCTGAGGGGTCAGATTTGGTCAGAACATCAGAAGGAAGACTTTAGGTGTGTGTGTTGAAGGGGGTCAGGACAGGCCTCCCCTGACTGGACATGCTACATGTGAGTGGGGGAAAGGTGGTTGGAGAGATGTCGCAAGTCGGACACCTCTAAGACGGGAGCTGGGCTTGACCCAAGGCCCCCAGATGAGTCTCTAGACCCTTTGGTTAAAACAAAAGCAAAGTAGGTAAGAATCACTCAAACTTGAACGATTATTTTCCATTCTAATTCTGTTGCATCCACAATATTGTTTTATCCTTTCAACGAACCAGTGAAGCTAACAGCAAAATGGGAAAATCGTAGGATAGAATTCATCTGAAGCCCGAAGCCACATGTAACCAATGAGTGGACGAAGGGGACAAATCTCCTAGTTTTCTGACTTTGATTCCTGTCCTGGGAATGGAGCCACTGAGCCACATCCCCAGCCCCCAGTTTCCTGACTTCCAATGCAGGTCTCTCCCTCTAAGGAGCAGTAGCACAGGGCAGGCAAGGGGGTGCCGGGACAGACACGTGGATTCCACGTGTGTGTGCCCAGTACCGGCATCCACTGAATGTGTGGAGGCTGTCCTGTGCTGGGCATTCGGGACACAGCAGTGACCAGGCCAGCACAGACCCTGTCCACATAGAGCTCTCAGGTTGTTGGGAAAAATGTCAAGGTCACTGAGCACCCAAGGGTGCCAGAGGTGGTGTGTGACAATAGTTAATGTGGGGGGCTGGGATTGTGGCTCAGCGGTAGTGCACTCGCCTAGCACGGGCGGGGCCAGGGTTCAATCCTCAGCACCACATTAAAAAAATAATAAAAAAGGCATTGTGTTGTGTCCATCTACACCTAAAAAATAAATATTAAAAAAATTAGTTAATGTGGGAATGTTTGCTGTGGGCCAAATCTAACACTACGTCCCAAAGGATTAAAGTGGCTGGTAATTCAGAGCTGCTCAGAGTGGGGTGCAGCCCAGGAAACAAAGTCTTACAGAGAGCCCATACCTCCTCCACACAGAGCACTCACACGGGTGGAAGACCAGGAGATTAGTCCAGTGCTTTCCCAAACTTTATATATATATATATATATATATATATATATATATATATATATATATATATATATATATATATGGTTGTAGATGGACACAATATCTTTATTTTGTTTTATTTATTTATATGCAGTGCTAAGGCAAGTGCTCTACCACTGAGCCACAACCTCAGCCCCTCCAAAACTTTTAATAGCAAAGCTCTTAAAAAAAAAAGATCTTACTATAAGTAATTAGGAAACATATGTTGAATTTTATAGTTAATTATGAAATTAACTGAGGACAAAGAAACCATCTGATTTTTTTAAAAAATGCCCAGTCAGGGGTTTTGTATGATAGTTGCATTTCTGTCAAACGCAGCATCTAATTTATTATTGTGTTTGGTGGCACAGTATTGAGGAAATCCTGATCCACACAGATAAGCAGTTACAGAATTGTGCTTTAACACCGTGTGAGTGGATCCCTTCACACTCTTCCCATGGAGAGGCGGCCACCTTGGCCCTCTCCTTGCTTCTCATTTAAAGCAGATGGCTCTGCAAAGACCTGGACTCTTCATTCAAGTTGATAGGAGAAGTTTTATTCAAAAGTCCTCCCCCGAATGAGCTAAGCTGGCTGCAGAATTTAATACCTCAGTGGTCTCTAACATCTTCGACTTTCATTGAAGTTTTTAAAAGCATTTCTAAAAATCAAATGGAAGGTTCTGGACTCCCCATGCACTTCCCTTATTCCCTGGAGTTCCCGAAAGCACAAGAATGGGAGAACAGCCAATCTGATCCAGCCAGCATCCTACATCTGTGAGGAAGTGGACCCACAAAAGTGCAGCAGCTGGGCTGGAACTCAGGTCTCTTGACTTCCTGGGTTTTTCCCTAAGGTGCCACCCCCCACACAAAACAGCCCTTGCTTCCCCTCGTCCTTACACATTCTGGCCTATGAGTCTCTTCGCATTTCCCACAGGGGTCCTCATGCAGGAGCCTGTCTGCAGCTGAACTGTTTGACAAATGTTTTTCCCAAGCAGCTGCCAGACCCTGACTCAGTTGTATTGCAGCCTCCACTTCACACACTGTCAACTCTGGCAGGTCTTGGTCTCCTGGGCCTTGATCTTACTGGGGGATAGAGCCCAAAAGGCTTGGCAGGGCCTGTGGTAAAAAAGCCAAGACTCTAAAGAAAGCTCTAGATTCTACAATTCTGGTAGAAGGTTACTCTCCTCTCTAGTCTCACTAGAGAGGAGTTTTGTTGTTGTTGTTGGGGTTTTGTTTTTTGTTTTGGTACTGGGGATTGAACCCAGGAGTACTTTGCCACTGAGCCACATCCCCCGGCTCCATATGTGTGTGTGTGTGTGTGTGTGTGTCTTTCTCTCTCTCTCTCTCTCTCTCGAGAGAGAGAGAGAGAGAGAGAGAGAGATTTTTTTTTTTAAGTTTGAGACAGGGTCTTGCTGAGCTTTTAATCCTCCTGCCTCAGCCTCCTGAGTCACTGGCATTATAGTTTTGTGTCACCATGCCCAGCTCTAGTGGGACTTTTTATGTGTGTGGTGGGGTACCGGGGATTGAACCCAGGGGTGCTTGCCACTGAACTACATCCCCAGCCCTTGTTATTTTTTGAGACAGGGTCTTGCTAAGTTGCTGAGGGCCTGGCTAAATTCTGAGTCTGGCCTGGAAGCTGGGATCCTCTTGCCTCAGCCTGGTGAGTTGCGAGATTTCAGGAGAGTGCCACCCTGCATGGTCTTGTGGGACTCTTGGTACCTTACCCGCTCCTCATATGATACCAGTGATTAATAGAATTACATTTTAAACAGACATCAGCCTTTTCCTTGGGAAGAAACTCTATTCCTGGGAGTAGAGGTGGTGATGGAACTAGAAGGTCTATTCCAAAGGCCCAAACTTTAGACATTCCAGGAAGCTCTGCTAATTGTTGAGGGTCCTGCCTGTGTAATTCTGCCCCAGCCCCACTAGGGATTGAACCCAGGGATGCTCTACCACTGAGCTACATCTCCAGCCCTATTTTTTATTTTGAGACAGAGTATGGGTAAGTTACCTAGGCAGGCCTGGAACTTGGGATCCTCTTACCTCAGCCTCTAAAGGCACTGGGATTACAGGTGTGTGCCACCTGGCCAGGCCTGGCTATGTAATTCCTGGATGTAATTTTCCAGGCCAGTTCCCACTCTGGAGACCCACCTGTTTTGTGTTTTTGTTTTCATTAATGTGGATTGGAAGGGTACAAGTTGTGGCTTCCTCCCTGGGACCTCTAGAGCAGTAGAAACATGATGGAACCACACATAGTTTTAAACACTTGCTATGCTTGTAATCCCATCTGCTTGGGAGGCTGAGGCAGGAGGATCGTGAGTTCAAGTACAGCATCAGTAACTTAGGGAGACCCTTTCGCATGTAGCTCAGTGGTAGATCACCCTTGGATTCAATCCCTAGTATTAAAAAATAAAGAAAAATAAAATTTAAAAAGGGCTGGAAATGTAGCTCAGGGGTAGAGTGCCCCTGGGTTCAATCTCCAGTAGGCGGTTGGGGAGCGGGATGAGTACAAAGCAACAAGTGTAATTAGTTAACAATATATTTCATTTAACCCAATATTCCTAACCCATTGCCTTCCCAACATGCAATCAACATAAAACATGATTAGGGAACTATTTGACATTCTTTCTCTTCCTGCCACATTTTCTGAGTCTCGGTGTCCTTGGCCTTGCACTTCGGGCAGGACCAGCACGTCTCGGCCGCGCCATAGCCACAGGTGGCCGGGGCCACTCTGTGGGCGCCAAGTAGGGCGCACACCCTCAATTCAGAAGGAGTTCTAGCTCCTCATCAGGGGACATCCGATCCTCCCTAAAGGGCCCTTCTCAAGGCCAGGTCGCTGGCGGTCACCGGCTCCCCAGGACGCCCGGTGGCACGGCACGGCTGCGCACTGCGTGGCTCCGGCTGGCACCTGGCTTGCGGCACCGGACGCCCCCCGCGCGGCGACCTCAGCGACCCGGGCCCGCCGGCCGCGCGCGTCCCCAGCCCGCGGGCCTGGCCGGGCCGGGGCGGGGCGCAGGGCCCGGCCCCGCCTCCGCCGCCCGGCACCTCCTCCGCCAGCGCGCCGCCGCCGCCGCCGCCGCCCGGAGCCGGCCGGGCCGCCATCATGCTGAGCCGGCTCGGGGCGCTGCTGCAGGAGGCCGTGGGGGCGGTGAGCCGCGGGCCGGAGGGCGGGCGCGGGCCGGGGCGGCGGGCGGGCGCGGGCCCCTCGGGCAGGACCCCTCCGCGGCCCGGCCGCTCCCGGGCCTCCCGCCGGGTCGGCGCCTCCGCAGGCGCAGGGCTCCGGATCCTCCCCAGACCGCCCCACTTCCCTGACCCTGGCCGGGACTGCTTCCTGCCGTGCTGTCGCCCGCCACCGCTCTCCCCGCTCCCGACGCTGCGTCCCGGGGCGCTCCCACGTCACCACAGCTCCCTCCCCGACTCCCCCAAAGCCCCCTGCCCCGCCCCTGTCTGCTGCCCTCCTCTGGCCGATCCCCTCTGTCCCTCCCTCACCTGGGTTTGAAAAAACGCCCCTTCCCCTCTTCAGAGCCCCACACAACTCCCAACACCCTGATGGCGGTCAGGCCGTGGGAAGTACAGGCCCTGAGTGACCAAGTGTCCGAGACGGGGAAAGAAACAGTGCCCTCAAATAGCCCTCTGTGGGAGAAACCCGGTCTCCAGCACGCATCCCACACCACAGCCGAATTGACCCTGATCAAGGGAGGGGCCGACCAGCCGTGGGGGTCCCTGGGTGGCCTGGTGTGAAAGAATGTATTGGTTTTTCCCATTCTGTCAGTATGGGTGTTTTTTGTTTTGTTTTGTTTTGTTTTGTTTTTTTGCCATTTTCTTTTGGGACAGAGGGCAGGTTCCAGGCAGCCCCCGAGGGTTCACTTGATTCAGCAAGATAAAGTGCAGTTTAGATAGGGTGGGAGGTGAGCCCTCTCTTTAACGCAGCCTTGCTAAGAAGCTGTGAAGTTACTTCTTGTTCTCCTAATGGTGAGTTTAGTGTATCAAATTGTGCTAGGAGAAACATACTTGGGTTCCACCCCTCGCCCCCAGAACCTGCTCCTCTGTCAGCCGTCATGGTGACTCTACCTTGGCAGACTTGTTAGGAAAGTGAGAACCTTCTACACACACACCCCACCCCTCTTTTATGCTTCCCAGTCCCTCTCTGCATGAGACCCTGGGCCTGGTCACCCCATGGAGGAGAGGTTCCAAAGTGGCCTTTCCTTTCTTTCCTATCTGTGCCCAGTCTCCACAGCTGTCATTTTAGAAAGTGATCTGATCAACTAATTCCACCTGTGGGAAAAGGTCTATCTACAAGGAGGAAGAAAGGGCAGGCCCACCTGTTCCTTAAAATGCAGGAAGATCAGGCATGGCACTGGAGATATTGGGAGCAGACAGATATTTTTAGGCAGGTAATCTCCCCACCACCACCATATGCAACATATAGATGGTCCTGGAAGTGTGACCTTGTGTGATCCACTGACATGGAGAATCCCTCTCCCACTTTACCCCTATGTTGGGGACCTAAGTCTTTCCCTGTGCTGAATGATTAAGTCACTGTGACCCTGGAAGAGTGCCCCTTCCTTCCTTCTCCTGACCAGCAAGAATAAGAATCATTTGGGTTCTTTCTAAAACTTTAATATTTCTAAAAAGAAACAGTTTGGGGCAAGTTCTTTGGTCTGGCATTATAGTAGCTAGTGACATTCAGGAGGACTGCAGCTTTCTCTCAACAGCTTATGCTGGATGGCCTGCCCTCTCTTGGGCTTTCTGGTTTTAACTGAGTATTCTTTTTGGTTGAAGCTCAGCTTAAGTTTTTTTTTTTTTTTTTTTTTTTGAGACTGTGAATTAAATTTGATGGAGGTGAGACCCCATCACAGAACAGATAATTCTGTTCTTCAGGGGTTCGAGGGCTTCCCAAGGTGAGGAACTGAGGAGAGAGTGTTCTTGAGAGTTTACAGAGATAGGTAGTATATGAGGAGTATTCACTGAGGGCAGCGCCCTCTGTGGCGGGCAGATGTAAAACCCAGAGCCTTGGGTCTAGGGGGCTCTCAGTTCAGCAGAGGTGACTTTGCAGTCCAGTGGCATCACATAGTAATAAGATGGAGTAGCTCATCGTGGAGTATTTGGAAGTCTGTGGGAGGTGACACTTCAAGAAGGGTCATGGTCCCTGTAGCCAACTGAAGGAAGACAAGATTGGGGCCAGGATGAGGAGTGCTTCAAGCTCTCCTTCCCAGTGTCCAGCTTTCTCCCCCTGAAGCTCTGGCTCCTACGCATCCTTCCTGCCTTTGCCTGCTCTCCTATAAGAGGCTGTCAAATGAATCTTCCTCAAACACTGCTTAGAAGGTGGCATTGACCTGCTCCTAGCTGCCTGCAAAATAATACCCGGACTTCTTGGGTTGGCCTTGAAAACCCCGCAAACTCACCAACCCTGTCCTTCCCCAGATGCACCTTGGAGTTCCTTCTGGAGGGAATGTCTTCCTTCTCAGTCGAAATCTGACCTCGTTCAAGCTTGAGTTCAGGTGTGGCCTCAGTAAAGCCTTCCCTGTTCTGGCCTGTTAGACGTGACCCCTCTTTGGGAGAGGCCCCTTTCTGTCTCTCCTGGAGCCTCATACTACTCCTTTGTAGTTTAGTTATTCATTGTGATTTTAGATTCTTTCTGTTTCTTGAGGACTGAGGCTTAGTCATTCTTGTGTTGTGGCAGCATCTAGCATGGCACTCTGCACCTACCAGGCTCTTAAAAGACACTGTGCAGTGACCTGACGAATGTGTGGCCAGCTCTGAGGAGCTGCATTCAGGCAGGAGTCCAGGACAGGGCTTTCTGGAGCTACCAGCCTTTTGCTGGGTCTTGCTGGGGGGCCAAGGCGAGTGTAGAGGGACTCGAGGACCCCAGAGCATTGAGTGCCCTGGGCAAGAACCTAGAGGTTGAAAATGAGCACCTATGGGTAGGGACTGTTTGACACGCATATTCCTCCTGCAAACATTCACTCTGCAACAAAAGAGGAATGGCCTTTTTTGGAGAAGTTTCCAGGGAAAGTGCTGGTCACTGGGTCTGAGAACATGGAGATGGAGACAGCTTTCACAGACGAGGAGAGCTGAGGGGCTTGCTCGGAACAGTGGCCCAACTCTCTCAGAAGGCAGGGGCCAAGGGTGATCAACTAGGGGTTAAGGGGTGCAGCCTGATGAAAGAGGGAAACCCATAGTAGGGCACTTCTTCTGTGTCTTGCTGATGTGCCCTGGCCAGCTGAATAGTCTGTCATGGTGGTGAACACTGATTTTCTTTCTCTCTTTTTTAATATTTATTAGTTGTTTTAGTTATAGGTGTACACAGTATCTTTATTTTTTATTTGTATGTGGTGCTCAGGATCGAACCCAGTGCCTCAGGCATGCTAGGCAAACTCTCTACCTCTGAGCCACAACCCCAGCCCTGAATACCGATTTTCATAACTCTGATTGAAGGGACCTAAAGCCTTGTCTTTGCAGTGTTTCCCACTTTTTTGTGGGGGGATACTAGGGATTGAACTCAGGGGCACTCAACCACTGAGCCACATCCCCAGCCCTATTTTGTATTTTATTTAGAGACAGGGTCTCACTGAGCTGCTTAGCCCCTCGCTTTTGCTGAGGCTGGCTTTGAACTCAGCATCCTCCTGCCTCAGCCTCCTGAGCCGCTGGGATTACAAGCCACCGCCTCTGGCTCTCACTTTTTATCGTTGTACATGTTTTGGTTCCTGCCTGTGCCTGTCTTTAGCGTGACCAGGTTGTGTTGAAGTGCTGTCTGTTTCCCCATCAACATGCTTAGCTCTCCAGGACGGGGTGTGCTGGATAGGGACCTGTGGAAGGGAGGGGCAGTGGGGAATGGTGCCGGGAGGACCTTGGAAAGTGATGGAGACAGTGCTTGTGGGTCATGGAGAGATGTTCCTCTTCTCTTTGAAAGGCTAGAGTGGGGTGCCTCCTCCAGGGCCTCGTGCCCACCCGACTGGCACATCACAGGAGCGTGGGGTGTTTGTCCCTGGGAGAGCCGGTGGTGGAGCTCATGGTCATGGAGCCCCACTGAGGTTGTGGCTCTGCTCTCTCTGCAGCGGGAACCCAGCATCGACCTGCTACAGGCCTTCGTGGAGCACTGGAAGGGCGTCACCCACTACTACATCGAGAGCACAGGTGGGGCCGCTTCTCCCCAGCCCGGGGGGGCTCCTGGAGGAGGACTTGGTCAGAGGGTCACAGTGTAGCTGACATCCACTGCCAGAGTTGGGGCCAAGCCCGTGGAGACAGGGAACAGACAGAAGGGGATACAGAGCCCTGGTTGCCTATCTTTGTGGCGTGGTTGCAGACTGCATCCTCACCTTTTAGGAGAGGAGCTGTGTGCGGGATGAGCAGGGACACGGGGGTTGGGGATCTCGTTGGCCTGACTGCAGGGTGAAGGTGGCTTCACTTGCCCCAGCTTCCTGCTAGGTAGAACCTCCAGGCCTTTATCCCCCGAGTGCTTGTGCCTAGGGTTACTGGTGAAAAGAAATGGAACGCATTCCCCTTTCCCTGGGCCAACCTAGGGACATGTCCCTTGTAGAGATCTGGGACAGGAAGAGAACCAAAACCAAGGTCTGGCCTATGCCTGGGTCCTTTTCTTTAAGCTGACACCTTAGAGGGCCAAAGCCTTGGGTCATTTGGCCTCTAAGATCACTCACTGAGGGGCAGAATCTGATTGGTTGCTTTGTAGTCAACATGCCTGGATTGGTAGATGCAGAATGGTTGCCAGGTAACCAGATCCTGCATCCTTAGCTTTCCACCTCCCAGCGTTCAGACTGTGTGATTCCAGGCTACAGTGTTCCGAAAGCTTTTTTCCAGCCTGAACCAGCCCAAGAAATTACAAAGTGGCCTTTGGGCACTCTTATGACCCTCTGTTAGCTCAGGGTTCTCAGTGTCAGCACAGTTGACATTTGGACAGTATTGTTCTTGTAGAGGGGGAATGTTTTGTGCAGTTTTGTCTGTCGAGCAGCAGTTCTAGTCTCCACCTCCTGCCCCTCCATCATAACAACCATAACTGTCTTCAGACACTGACCCCCCGCCCCCCATACACACACACCCAGTTGGGAACCACCCCTTTACAGCTCTCTTAACAGATCTGCATCCAATTTTTAATTTCCAAAATGGTTCCTAGACCTGAGGCATCCTGAGAGGATGAGGTAGGCCACCTTGCCGAAGAACCTATGCCTTAAAGGAAAGCTAGGGGGTGCTCCAAGGCAAGTCCCAAAACTTTCTCTATAAGAACCCAGCACCCTGTGAGGCTGACTCCTGAGGCCCCACCAACCAGCTCCTCCATGATGGTGGAACAGGTTGGGGTGGTGTGCAGATTGATTTATGCTTTGTAAAAAAACGGTACTGTCCTTTGTGAGTGGAAAAGGGGCATAAACAGGCCCCAGGAGGTTGTCACTCAGGAAGCTGCTAGAAATAGCCTTATATGTGACAGACCCCTAAGCCCTCAGCTGCTCACTCAAGCCCAGAGCAGACAGGCAGGCAGCTTCTAAAATGTCTTTCTGTGGGCCCATGATGTGTCCTTGTCTCGGATTTTGTAGGAAAATTACCCTGTGATAAAGTGCTGGGGCCATATCCTGGGCCTCATCCAAAAGGACTTTTAAAATATATGAACTGTAAACTTCCATTTCCTGGTTGTCCCCAACCCCTTCCCTCATCTCCCAGGTGTGACCTCCCCCTTCCGGGTTCTGCAGGAGAGGGTACAGTTTTTAAGACAAATGCCCATTTTCATCCCACTCACCCTTGCTTCCTAAATCTCAATTAGATGAAAACACCCCAGTCAAGAAAACAGATATTCCCTGGCGGTTGAGGCAGATGCTGGACATCCTGGTGTATGAGGAGCGGCAGCAGGTGGCGGCTGGCGAGGCAGGGCCCTGTCTAGAATACCTGCTACAGCACAGGATCCTGGAGACCCTATGCACGCTGGGCAAGGCCGAGGTGGGTATGCCCAGGGAGCCTCCAGAAACTTCCACTCTAGCCAGCCCCTGGATTCCAGGCTTTTCTACCCTGTCCCACCCAGTACTCACATACACTAAGGGTGAGTGAGCCAAAAGGAAGGGGTTACTGTGGCTGTCTTACTTGGGACATCCCACCTCCTCCCAGGGACTCTTATTCTTTTTATGCTCATTCAGCAAAGATATACTGAACACCTGAGGTGTGCCAGGCTGTGTTCTAGACACAGCAGTGACAAGAAGAGAGGAATCCTCATGGGTGAGGGGCCGGATAACTGTGTACAGTTGGCCCTTGTTATCCTAGGGGGATTGGTTCCAGGACCCCACTCCATCTCCCCTTGAATACCAAATCAACGGATGCACAAGTCCCTTATTCTAGAAAGGGGTCCTGGATCCAGTGTCCCATGGATATACCAAGGGAGGACCATGTTTGCATATAACCTATATGTATCCTCTTGTACCTTTAAATTGTATCTGGCCAGGTGTGGTTGGTATACATGTGTAATCCCAGAGACTCTGGAGGCTGAGGCAGAAGTTTGAGGCCAGCCTGGACAACTTAGCAAGACCTTGCCTCAATAAATAAATAAATAAATAGGGCTGGGGTTGTAGCTCAGTGGTAGAGGACCCCTAGGTTCAATCCCCAGTACTGGAAAAAAAAAAGTCATCTTTAGATTACTTACAATGCCTAATACAAATTTAAGTGCTGGCTGGGCGCAGTGGCACATGCCTGCAATCCTAGTGACTCAAGAGGCTGAGGCAGGAGGATTGAAAGTTCAAGGCAGGTCTGGGGTTGTGGCTCAGGCCCTGGGTTTGATCCTCAGCACCACATAAAAATAAATAAATAAAATAAATAAAAATAAAATAGTATTTAAAAAAAAAGTTCAAGGTCAGCTTCTGCAACTTAGCAAGGCCCTAAGTAACGTTAGCAAGACCCTGTCTCAAAAATAAATTGAAAGGTTTAGGGATGTGGCTCTGTGGTAAAGCTTCCCTGGGTTCAATCCCTGGTATCAGAATCAAAATAAATGCTATGATATTAGTTGTTCTGCTGCATTGATTAGGGAATAATGACAAGAAAATGTCTGTACATCTGCAGTATAGATGCCATGTGGGATTTTTGCATTTTAATAGTTTTGATCTAAGGTTGGAGGATGTGGAGGGCTAGCTGTAGTATGTTTGATAACTTCTCAGTTATGAGAAAACTAAGGCAGGAAAGGGGGTTGGAGCACAAGGAAGGCAGGTTTGAAACATCTTGCAAGGGAAGGACACTTTGTGAGAAGGCAGGCTCTGAGCTATGATGATGAGGAAGTGAGCCCATAGTTTTCTGGGGAGTAGCGTTCTGGGCAGGTAGCTGTGGCCTCGACTGACAGGGCGCTCTGTTCCCACCCCCAGTACCCCCCAGGCATGCGGCAGCAGGTGTTCCAGTTCTTCAGCAAAGTCCTGGCCCAGGTGCAACACCCCCTGCTGCATTACCTCAGTGTCCACAGGCCTGTGCAGGTGAGGGGCCAGGAAGCCAAGGGGTATCTGGGTAGGACGCCCTCCTTCCCCACCACCCTACACCCCTGTTTCTGCCCTGTTACCCTTCCAGAAACTTCTCCGACTTGGTGGGTCAGTCCCTGGATCCCTCACAGAAAAGGAGGAGGTGCAGTTCACCAGCGTCCTCTGCTCCAAGATCCAGCAGGATCCAGAGCTGCTCACCTACATCCTGGAAGTAAGCATTTCTGCAGAGAACGGGAAGGGGAAGACCTGGAACCCCGGGGGCAAGCCCCCTAAGCCCTTTGAGCAAGCAGGAGAGGTCACAGGCAGCTTCTCTGTGACTCCAGGCTGAGGCCCTGTCCCTGCACTCTTAAGGGAGGTCCCAGGGGAATGTTCTCCACTGTGACCTGGCATCCCTCCTTCTTTGCAGGGTAAAAAAATCATCAGTAGGAAGAAGGCACCCAGAGAGTCTACCGCCCTGTCCAAAGACTCAGCCTGCCACACGGACAAGGACCATTTCCACAGCAGTGCTCCTGACAAAGGATCCCAGCTGGATGGGGAGCACTGTGGGGCCCAGGCCTTGAACAGCCACCTGCCTGCTGAGACTGAGGGGCCAGATAGTGGGACCGGGGAGAGCACCCTGATCACCTCCCTACTTGGACTGTGCAAGAGCAAGGTGCTGGCCATAGAGATGACAAGGGTGGAGACAGGAAGGGGTGGGGTGAGTTGTTAGGAGGCGATCTGGGGTTCAGATGCATGTTCCTGATGTATGTCCCCATCCCCTTAGAAGAGTCGAGTGGCCCTGAAGGCCCAGGAGAACTTGCTGCTCCTGGTAAGTGTGGCCTCCCCAGCAGCTGCCACCTACCTGGTGCAGAGCAGCCCCTGTTGCACGGCCATCGCAGAGCACCTTTGCCAGCTGTACCGATCCCTGCCTGCCTTCCTCGACCCTGCAGACATCGCAGCTCTAGAGGGCATCAGCTGGAGGTAGGTCCTTAGCCAGGAAGGCCGCTGATTTCTCTGGTTTTCCACATGGGATGGGAGTCCCTGCTGGCCACCTTCTTCTTGAGGTTACAGAGAATCCCCAAGGGCTTTGTCAGCCTTCTGGAAGCTTCACTTTTGCAGTCTTGATCACAAGGCCTGCCGTAGAACTGGTCCCAACAATAGCGGCTCCAGAGGAGGAGGAGAGGGCCCACTCCCAGCTGTCCTTGGGGAAGATCTTGAAGTTTTTCTCTCGCCCTCCAGACTTCCCACCTTCCACTTCCCTAGGTTACCCAGTGCCCCATCCGATGAAGCATCCTTCCCTGGCAAGGAGGCCCTGGCTGCCTTCCTGGGCTGGTTTGATTACTGCGACCACCTTATCACAGAGGCACACGCGGTGAGCAGGGGCGGGCCCAGCCAGGGCGCTCTCCCGGCTTCCCTTACCATCCCATCTCGAGGACAGGTGGAGCAGTGACTTGGTTGCCCAGGGCCAGGAGCCAGCAGGGTCCCTGTGAGCCCAGCCCTTCTGTCTGATATGTGGGCACTGTGAAGACAGAGATTCCCAGGGAAATTGTGATGGGTATGAACACAGTGGAGACACGCTCTTTGGCACTCAGGTGGTTGCAGATACCTTGGCAAAGACTGTGGCTGAGAAGCTGTTTGTGGAGACTCTGCAGCCCCAGCTCCTGCATGTGTAAGTATCTGTCCGGTTTCCTGGGCCTTGGCCCTGGTCTGCATCAGCCCCTTCCTGTCCCTTCTAAGACTAGGTAACTCCTTGGCTAGAGTTGGGTCTGTGTACTTCACTGGTTAAAGTTTGCCAGGCCTGCCCCTGACGGCACATCACTCTGAGTTACATGGGCTGAATGACAGCCTCCCACCCCAACTATATGACATCAGTAGGCACAAGGACATAACCCAGGACACATGAACCAAAGAAGGAAGGAGAGCAGCCGAGGGTTCTGCAGCACTGCTCCCATTCGCCCCCTGCCCCGTGCTCTCTCCGCCTAGCTCAGATCCCCCGCCTGGCTAAGGTGCCCTCTGCCCATAGATCTGAGCAAAGCATCCTGACCTCCACCGCGCTGCTGACGGCCATGCTGCGCCAGCTCCGCTCCCCCGTGCTGCTGCAGGAAGCTGTGGCCTTCCTCCTGGGCCCTGACCAGCAGCCTGCAGCCCTTGAGGACAACCCCCGTACCCTGTGTTCACACCTCATCAGACACTGCGACCACCTCTCCGACGAGGTAAGACAGAGGGACGCCTGACTCTGCTCACCCCCACCCTGCCAAGGGGGTCTCCTGAGCACTTCTTCCCATCTTCATTAGCTTGCCCAGGAGATTCTGCCTCTGAGGCCTTGAGCCCCTCAAAGCAATGACAAGGTGATTGGCGGCTGAGCTGTTTTTGTTACCCAGTAATTTTCTGTGACAATATACTCTTCTTGTTGCTGTGTGTTACCAGAGTTTTCCCATTTACTTGGCTTGTTGGAGGCTTAAACCCTCTGTGATGTAGGGGAAGCTGATAGTCCCATTTTTAGATGGGGAAACTGAGGCAGTGGCCTTGCCTCTGATAGCACATCAAATAAGTAACAGAGCCTAGGGATGTAGCTTGGTGGTAGATTGCCTGCCTAACATGTTTGAGGCCCTGGGCTCGATTTCCAGCCCCACCCCACCCCCACCACACAAGGTCACAAAATGAGGACTATACCCAGCTTTCCTGGTTTCCTGGGCCACCCTCCATAAACTTCTCGCCCCAAAGCCTGCCATCTTAGCCCCTGGCCAACAGCAGTGACCCCTGCCTTAGAGGACTTTTCTTTATCTGGGCTAGCAGTTCCTAGACACTGAGGTGGGGGGCACCCTGCCATCCCCTCTTGCTCCAGATCAGCATCGCCACACTGAGGCTGTTCGAGGAGCTGCTCCAGAAGCCCCATGAGCAGGTCATCCGTGACCTGGTCTTGTGCAACCTCGACGGCCGTCTGTACGTGGCCCGGGGCTCACCGGAGCCCGAGAGTTATGAGGACACCCTGTAAGTACAACTGGGAGGCCGGGGGCTGCCCAGGACCCAGCTCAGCCCTCAGCATGCCCACGAGCAGCCATTCATTGGTGCCGCCTGTGTGCTCTGGCTGCAGAGACCTGGAGGAAGACCCCTACTTCACCGACGACGGCTTCCTCGACTGCGGCTTTTCACCTTCTGCAAAACCTCGTACCGCTCCTCCCACGAGTGCCCCTGGCAAGACTGCAGTTACCGAGATCGTCAACAGGTGGGGAGCAGGTTAGGCAGTCAGAGCCTCTTGACCTGTGTTCTGTTTTGGGGTCCAGTGAGCAGGGGAGCCCAGGGAAGCACCTCCACACCTAGGCTCTGTCTCCCAGTTTCCTCTGCCTGGTGCCGGAGGAGGCCAAGACGTCAGCTTTCCTGGAGGAGACTGGCTATGACACGTATGTCCACGATGCCTACGGACTGGTAAGTGGCAACTCTGCAGTAAGTACCCCTCTTGTCCTTCCGAGACCTTGGGTTGACAAACTCCTTTGGTGTCCTGCCCAAGGGGCCCCAGGCCCATCCCTCCTGCATTGGGTCTCTCGGCTGGGCCCTTCAACTGTCCCCCAACTCTCCTCCTTTCTGCTTCAGTTCCAGGAGTGCAGCTCCCGCGTCACCCCCTGGGGCTGGCCCCTGGGTCCTGCACCCCTGGACCTCCATGAGCCCGAACGGCCTTTCTTTGAGGGTCCCTTCCTCCAAGTGCTGTTTGACCGCATGGCCCGGATTTTGGATCAGGTAGCCAATAGGATTGGGCCCCAGAAGAACTGCAGGTTGGGTCCTCTGAGTCCTTCAAGAGAGCAGGGGCTAGCCACAGGGCTTGACGCCCATCTCTGGGTCTCCATCTCCATGGCCCCTCGCCTTTCCCCAGGCGGGAAGCCCATCTTGCTTCTGCTTCACATGCCCTAACATGCTTTGGCCCTCAGCCCCAGGGAATCCATGACACACACACATCACGTGAGCCTCCCACCCCCGCACACGTTCACACCAGCCAGGCGCCTTGCTGGGGGAGTGAAAATATGCTCACCACCCCCTGCCAATCCTCAGTATTGTCCATCTCATTCCCTACAGCCATACAGCCTGAACCTGCAAGTGACCTCAGTCCTGTCCCGGCTCGCCCTCTTCCCCCACCCCCATATCCACGAGTACCTCCTGGATCCCTACATCAACCTGGCCCCTGGCTGCCGGAGCCTGTTCTCTGTGCTTGTTAGGGTAAGAATGTTGGGGAACAGGAAGGAAGGGATCAGGGAAGGGGGCTGGGGGCTGGACACTCTTGCCAGTCAGGGAGAGATAGGTCCCCCTGCTCACCCCTACGGCACAGCAGGGCCAGGGGAGCCTGCAGAAATATGTCTGGTTCCCATCTCAGTCCTCTCTGGTTCCCATTCTAGGTGATTGGAGACTTGATGCAGAGAATTCAGAGGGTACCCCAGTTCCCAGGCAAACTGCTCCTGGTACACAAGCAACTGATGGGCCAGGTCCCTGGGGAGCAGTAAGTAACCGAGGGTAGTGGTGCCTCGGGGAGGTAGAAGGTTCCTCAGATCGGGAGCGTGTCTGGCCACTGGGTCAAGCCTTGATATTAGGTTGCCATGCTAGGCACATGCCTCTGCCACCCAGCCATGTCCCCTGTGCCGTCTCCCCTCAGGCTGGACCACCAGATCCTCCTTCAGGGTGTGGTCGTACTTGAGGAGTTCTGCAAGGAGCTGGCTGCCATCGCTTTCGTCAAGTTTCCCCCACATGGTCCTCAGCTGAACCTCTCCCCACCCCTGGAAGGGCAAGTCTGAGCCAGGAGCATGACGGGCAGGTGAGGAGACTCCTGTCCAAACCTCTGCTCAGAGCTGCCTCCTGCCTGGCTCCGCTGCCACTGCTCTCCTCTGGGTTGCGGGCCTCAGCTCCCAGGCCAACTCTGGGAGGCCTTGACCTGTTGACCACATGGGCCAGGGTTTCAGGGAGTGGGCTTCTGAAGTGCCAAGGAGCAAGAGAGAGAGATGGCTTCCCAGGCATCAGGGTCCTCGGGCCTTCTCGGAGAATGTGAGTGGTGGCCAGTGAGCGCCCAGACCCTGACCCTTCTGTGTTATGGGACTGTTCCCTCAGTGCTGTCCCTGTGTGGTCAAGGCCATGACCTGTGACAGATAACTCCATGGGCAATGGGGACTGAGCTCCTGGCTCCCAGGAACCCAAGCCAGAGAGATGGGGACCAGAAGCCCTGTCATGAGGCACCATGGAAGCTGCTGAAATTTGTCATTTTTTCTTGCCTTCTTGGCTTGAGCTGTGGAGAAGGGGCAGAGAAGGGGACTGTGGGGGATCCCCCTCTTCCTGCCCTGCCCTACTGGAGACTGTTGCAAAATTCCCAACTGCTTCATGGCACATGCCCAAAGCATGCTCCGCACCCAGGCGGGGGCAGCCACTAATGAGAACCCCAGAGCCGTGGCAGCCAGGGCAGGTGGGCGCCTTGGAGCTGGGGATCCAGGTGCCAGTCCACACAGCTCCAGCTGCTTCCTCTCTGGCGTCTTCTGAACCTGTCTCAGCAGGTCCACAACACCTGGGCAGAGAGGTCAGTGACCAGGGGAGGCCATCCTTGCTCTCCAAAATCCAACTCCCGCTCAATGCTCCCAGTGGAACAGCTGGAGCACAGGACCTCAGGGTACAGATGGGCAGGACACCCCTGCCTCCAGACCCCCGAGGCCTGGTGGGGAGGGGCCGAGGCACAGGCAGTTGGTTCTGGTGTTGTTCTCCCTGTGTGCACTCCACGGCTGGGTCTGCTACCCCGCCCGGCCGAATCTGTCTCGACCTGCAGGAACACGGGCGTAGCCAGGCATTACCTCACAGCGGGACTGCAGTTGCTGGCTTTGCTCCTGGGCAAGGAGGAGCAAGCCAGAGCCCCTTTCGCTTCCTTTTCCTGCCCATGCCGCTTCTAGAAGCCTGGCACAGGTTGCCAAGAGGTGACATGAAAGAGGAGGGAACTCAGTGACCTCTACCTCTCCCGCATTCCTCCAGCGGGGGAGGACTCTTGCTGCTTGGAAGAATGCCGTGCATGTGTGCACAGGGTGTTGGTGTGGCAGGAGAGCAGACAGTGGCTGGATCGGGTCTGGACACAGATTCTTAAACTGTTCGAGGGTCTGAGAGTCCCAGGCCTCTAATCAATGCACTTTGGCATTTGCACGGTGTCTTCCCCCAGGTAGCACAGCAATAAACAGTGTGACTGCGTGGACTCGATGGCTGTGTTCTTCTTCAGCCTTCTCATCCCCTACCCGGGCTTCTCTGCTAATTTGGGCCCATCTTCCACCCCTAAGAAGACAGGTTCAGTTCCTTTTCCAGCACTGGCGCATAGGTGGGTGGTAAATGGAGACAGGCTCTGGCCGTGCAAATCCGATATTCCTCCACACCTGCCAGGAACTACTCTCTTGGCTGAGCCACACGACACTGTTTCTACTCAGCTCATCTACAACAGCCTGCCAGCCTGGGAGGGACCAGGAGGGGACAGGCCATGTGGGAGTGTCTGGATGCAGCTCTCCTTTTCCTGGATTTGTTGCGTGCTGCGTTAACTCTCCTCTCGTTAGTGAAGGGCAGGCCTGATATTTAACATACTTGTCCTTAGATGTGTCTAGAGGGGAGGGCTCCTCTGAGAGGTCACCAACAGCATTCCAGGGTCAGGCAGGCAGAGAACTTAGAGAAGGGCCCTCCTGTGGCTCTCAACTGGGTGCACATTAAAATCTAAGCTGGCCTTTTTTCTTCTTTTAAACCCCTGAGCTATATCCCCAGACCTTTTTTTTTTTTTTAATTCTAAGACAGGATTTCACTAAGTTGCTGGGGCTGGCCTTGAACTTGCGATCCTCCTGCATCAGCCTCCCCATTTGCTGGGATTATAGGCATGTGCGCACCTGGACCCTTTTTAAAATGCCAGTGCCCGGCCTGTCTCCCCCAGCAGTTAAGTCAGTTTGGGGGTGGGGCGGTAGGGTATGGAAGTTCTCTATGTGACTCTCATGTGCTCCTCGTGTGGAAAACGACCATGCTGAATAGTGGGTGTGGACTGGAGTGGCAGGGGAGGGAGGTGTCTCTCAGACACTCTGAGAGTGAACCAAAAAGGGTTTGGTTCATCATTTACAAGATGTGTCTCAGAGGGGCTGAGGATTTCAGCCTCTCTCCAGAGGCCAGAGAGACAAGATGGCAGCTGAGAGAAGGCAGGGGCTGGGAAAGGCCAGAGTTCCCCTGGGTAATTACCCAAAGGAAAGCCCATTCAAGTGTTCACCTGCTCGGAATCAGAAATCTACTCCTTAGATGTGGTGATCAGCACAGGATATGTTTTCTTTGTTACTTTGGTTTTCCCCTAAAGTTCTTTTATTTGAAAATACACACACACACACACACACACACACACACACCTCCTGCTATGATCTGGCAGGAATCTGAGAGGAATTGAAGAAAGGGTTTAATACAGCTTGGGCTGAAAATATAAGCAGGCAGAGGCGAGAGGGAGTGGGTAGGCTCAGAGCCTGGGAAGCTCAGGCAGAGGCAGGGGCGGTATTTCCGGCTCCAGACCCACCTGCATCTTCCCAAGGTCCCAGCTGCTCAACTTCTGGAGGGGTCTGAGCTGTTTTCATGAAGGGTGTGGCCCCTCCCAGTCACATCCTGCCCAGCAAGACAGAAGAGATGGCAAGAGCCCTGGTGGGCTTAGAGGTTGCAGTGAACAGCAGGAGGTACCAGCCCCAGCCACCCTGTTGGTGCACTGGGTGGAAGGGGGGACGCCTGGGTGGCTGTGGGTGGGACAGAGGAGCAGCAGGTCTCCTGAACAAGAGCCTCCCTCACTTCACCCCCCCAGAGACATTTAGTCAGGAAAGGCAAGGTGAGCAACATCTATTTACTCCGCAAGGGGCTCTCCCTCAAAGGCCTCCCTACACCCTCCTCCAAGTTGTAATTGCTTGAAAGAATCAGCATGCAGTCCTTTACCAAGGTGGGCACAGAAAGTGAGGAGATGCCATTTGGGGATCAGAGTGCTCCTCATCCACTTAGGGAGAAGCATTTGTGTACCCTCGAGGCAACTAGGTGCTTGCACTCTAGACTTGCTTAAAAGGCACTGTCCCTTTTAGTGCAGTGCAGGAGCCTGTGGCCTGTTCCACAAAGTTTCCCTGAGAATCAGGAAAACTGCCCCTGCTCTCTGTGCAATCAGACTGCCAGCCTCCTGCCTGCCTTGGAGGGAGGGAGGCAAAGTCTGATAGAGAAGTCCTATTGCCCAGCTCTTGCCCACTGCTGGCACCTCCCTATCTGTTTAGTGGGACAACAGAAGATTCCTGGAGCTTCTGTAGGAGCTGGGTTTGTAGGTCTCCCTCCATCACCTTCCACCAAGAATAGTTCTCACCCAGAACCTTCGGGGGCTCATCTTGGATCCCTGGGTTCCGAAAAGCCACTGTCACCAGCACATTCAGGCAGATGCCATCTGTATGTTCTTTGCCCAGGTGCTGCAGTCCCAGCAGCCCCTTGGTCTCCACTGCCAAATTGTGCAGGGTCAGACACTCCTGTAGCAGCCGCAGGACAGCCACCTTGATGCCACCCCTCTGCTCCATGGGGGTAAAGCCACAGGCAGTGATGGGCAAATGAGGCATCCCCACTGTACCCACCAACACCCACACTGTCTGTACATTAGTAAAGGCGGCCACCAGCCGCTGGCAGACCACACTGCAAGGAAGCTCTTGGGGCAGGATGAGAGGATGCCTGGCTTGCTGGCGGTACTGAGCAGCTAGCTCTACCAGGTGCAGAATGTCATGGGCTCGCAGTGGAGTGGGCAGGGAGATCCGTGGGTACCAGGCAGCCTGCAGGGACTCAGCATCTGCCTCCTTGGAAGTCTTGAGAATCCCACCTAGGGGAGATTTGGGGCACAGGGAGGGAGGGAGGGAGAAGGTATTAAAAGAAGTGTGGGGACTGGCAAAGTAAAAGAACGCCCAAGAACTCCAGCCCCGATCAGGGAGGCCATGAGCCCTCAGGCTGCAATCAGCCAGCACCAATCTTGTATCAGTCAGAACAGGGCTGGCTGTGGAAGGGCTCCTCTCACCAAAGGACAAGCTGGGGGAAAGGTGGCAGTTGGCCCCTTCTCACATGCCACCAAGTGGGCTGTACCTGTGGGGCGAGCAAGGAACACGAAGCGGATCCAGGAGGGGCCCCGCTCTTCCACCAAGAGCAGTGTCACAGGCTCACAGTGCAGGCCAGCCTCCTCCTTCACCTCCCGCTGCAGTGCCTCCACGATGGTCTCCCCAGGCTCCATTCTCCCCGCAGGAAGGTACCATGACCCCCGGCACTCCCTCTTGGCCTCCTGGATCAGTAGCACCTCATCCTGAGGGGGCAGAGAGAATCTTCACCCCCAACCTGGCTGGCAGTCTGGGGCTCCAGAAGAGCAGCCCAACAAGCAACCTTCCCACCCAGGAGCCCAAGGGGATCTAAAAGGTGGAAGCCCAAGACTCCCTCAATGGTGGACACCTTCAAAATGCTGAGCTGTCCAGGACACTGGCCTTTGTGTGGCTGGGGGCTAAAGAAAAACTTTCTTTGTAATAATGTATGCCTCTGTGAATTCAGAAAGACTTCCATTTCAGCAAGGGGCTAAGATGCCTGGGAGCTGCTTCAGGGGCTGGAGATAAGGCCCTAGAATGAGGGTTCCACTTGTCCTGTACTGATTGGTGTTTATATATATCACAGTGTAGCTGTCACTTTCCCCTGGGGTTTACAAACAGCTTGTGGCCAGTCCCTACTCTGGGAACTGAGCTTTGAAGCTAGCAGTCACCCCCATCTCGTCCCATGTGACCCCTCCCTATGGCCTTGGCCACTTGTAACTGTCATTACATTGACTTGTACAGACATCAGCCCAAAAAAGAACTCTCAGGGCGCCAGAGACCTGAGTGTAAGCGCCTCATTCCATTCCTTGGAAGTCCTAGCCAGCCATTAGAGGGTCCCACTCCGTGTCACCCCATCCTAGACTCCTGGAATGGAGGGGGGGATACCAAAGCCTCCCGGCAAGGAGCTGAGGCCTACTGAGTGGGACCAACAGCTCGCGGGCCTCAGTTTCCGCCTCTGTCTATCGGGACAATCGCAGGGCTCAGATGCAAGTGTGACAGTGCTTTGTAAAACTGGGAAGCGCCACGCACAGTGCAGTGGTGGCTGCGGCCGTTGGCTCTCGGTCCCCACCTGGGCTGGCTGCGCGCTCCCGAGGCCCAGAGGAGGGCCGGCGGGCGGACGCTCACCTGCTCGTTGAGGAACACGGCCAGCACCACGTAGCAGACGTTCTTCCGCAGCCGCACGGGCGCGGGCGGCTCACCGGCTGGCCCCGAGTCACAATTCTGTACGCGCAGCCCCTGGCCCCCCAGCACGGCCGCCAGCGCACCCGCCAGATCTTCCGAGGCCATCGAGTCGCCTGGCAGGCGGCGGCCGAGACCCCGCGGACTCCAGAGCCCGGTGGGCGGGACGGGCGAGCGGGGGCTCCTTCGCCCACGTCCCCTCCCCTGCAGCCTCCGCCGGCGCGAACGCGGAAGCGCCCGGCGAGCCCCGCCCGCTGAGAGTCTGCGTGTCACCGCGGCCCGCACGGATTGGCCGGCCCGAGTCGGTCACCGAGGGGGCGGGGGCAGCCCGTTAAGGGGCGGGGCTCCGGCCCGGGGCTGTGGGGACCCTCGCCGCGCTTCGGCCCGCTTGCCGTTCCTGTCTCTCTCTCGGGCCGTCTCCCGCCGCCAACCCCTCTAATTCCTCCAGCACGCACTTGTCAGTGCGGGTTCCGACGGTGACGTCATCCTTCCCGCAGGGTGCTGAGCGCCTGGGCGGCCAGTGGCGGTGGCGTCACAAGCCCGATGACGTCACAGAGGCCGGGACCCGCCACTTGGACCCACTGTCCAACTTTCATCATAAACAAATTAGGGCAAATTGCCCGAGATGATCACCTTCCAAATAACTTTCTTCTTACTTCGGTTAATTGTGCTAAATGTCAGGTGGCCCGTGGACACAGACTAATGCCTTGGAGATTCTGATCTAGTTGGAGAGATGGACACAGACATTTCATAAAAAGTCAACTAAGGGTTATAGGCTAAGTGCTAAATCATTGGTTTGGGCAGAAGATTTGCCAGACGGAGGCTCAGAGGAGGGAGAGGGCAAGACTGGGATGGTCAAGGTGGGGCAGGGGTGGGAACCCGAGGCAGGGATTTGGGGCTGAGAAACAGTCTGGAATCAGCGGCTCAGCCTTGGTCAGAGGGCCCCTGCTCACCGCATTTCCTATGCCGTGTACTCGGCCTCTGCTGCAGACTGAACCCTCGGAGGGTACGGGCGGTGCCTTCCCACCCAGCATGCAGGGCCTGGCGCATGGGGAGCAGGGTGTGGGTTGTTTTGGCCAGCTCCTGCTTCTCTCCCAGCCTGACCTTTCCTCTTCAGAGCTTCCTTTAACCTTCTCTCAGGACAGGAAGGCCGAGCCAGCTGGAAGGAATCTGCAAGCAGGCCAAGGCTAGGCTCTGCACCCCATCTATCCGCCCCTTCCCTCCTCTCCCCTGCTGGCTTTGTACACCTCCCTTTTGAGGGGACAGTGACTTGGTGGTGCTGACAAAACTCTGGACTTCTGGATGGCTTGCTCTTGGCTGGGTTGGGCCTCAGTTTCCTCATCTTTAGAGTAGGGTCATAACAACCCTTGGTCCACAGGGTTGATGAAAAACCAGGACACCTTGAGAGGAGTTATGTGACCTGCCCAGCACTGGGCACCATCACCAGGCAATCCCACCAATGATCCAGGCTGAGTCCTTGCAGCCATATCACTTGTTACTCCTATACAAAGACCTGGCCTCGTGAAATGTGCATCTATGGCTGCCGTAGAGCGGGTCTTCACTCTCAGGAACACCCGACCTCCGTGGATGCTTCTTACATATTGGTGCTGACTGCAAGGTTCCTAGAGGCAGGGTGCTGTGTTGGCATGCCTCATGGGCTCACAATTTTTGGAAGCACTTGCTGAACACTGCTAGCCCCAGCCCTATCTGAGACCTCTCACCCTACAAACATTTGGACTTATGGGCAAAGTCAGGACCCCAGGGCAAAGTCAGCAGCTTGCCAACGCGCGTTTGCTGTATTTATATCCCTCAATTTTCCCATCTGTGAAGTGGGGGCAGCGTTGGTCATAGACTCCTTTCTGCCTCCCAGGGATGATTTGAGAGAGTGAGGTCATGTCTGGGCAGGGCTCTGTGAGCTTCGGAGCATCCTAAGATAAACACCAGGCGCCCCAACTGCCTGGAAGAGCAAAGACAGCCACAAACCGCATGTCCACTCCCCCACTGCCATTGGGTAAGCACTTCTCTCCTATTCAGTGGGCCTCATCAGCCCTATCACAAGTCACACTTGAGACAAGCCAAAAAAAACTAAAAAACCCCTTGTAAACTTTATTGTTGTTGTTGTTTTATTTTGAACCAGGGATTAAACCCAAGGACACTTAACCATTGAGCCACATCTCCAGCCCCTTTTTTATATTTAAAGTCAGGGTCTTACTGAGTTGCGTAGGGCCTCTTTAAGTTGCTGAGGCAGCTTTTAAAAAAAATTTTTTTTTTTTAGTTGTAGATGGGCATAATGCCTTCATTTTATTTATTTATTTTTCTGTGGTGCTGAGGATCGAGCCTGACGCCTCATACATACAAAGCAAGCTGTCTGCCACTGAGCTACAAACCCAGGCCAAGGCTGGCTTTGAACTCTCAATCCTCCTGCCTCAGCCTCAGCCACTGGGATTACAGGCAGGTGCCACCATGCCTGGCGTCTCGTAAACTGTTAAGGGCACACAGGGGTGGAACCAGCCCTTCCAGGTCTGCTAAAGAAGACAGAGGTGGTGCTCCTCAAAGCTTTGGGAAAAAGAGAGTAGCCCAGCCGTCCGCCTGGGACAGAGGGGAAGAGCAAGTGAGGGAGGGAAAGAGGCCTCCGCAGAGTCTCCATTCCCAAAGGGGAAAACACTGCAGAAGTAGGAGGCTGCGCAGGGGTGGCCTGACGGGAGTGAGGCAGGGGAGGGCATGCGCACGCACGTGAGTGTATGAGCCCATGAGCAAAGAGGCTGGGGGACGTGGTCTCCTCTGGGACACGGGACTGAGATGGCAGGCTGTGGAGGACAAGGGTGTCTGTGACACTAGATATTACAGAGCAGCAAACCCTGTTTCTTTTCAGAACAGGGAGGGTGAGGAAGTGGCCCAAGCTACAGGAGGAGGAGGAGGTCTGGCTATAGACACTGGCTGCAGAGTGGGCTCTGCCACTCACTCCCCACATGACCTTGAGGGAGCCACGTCCACCAGCTAGGCCAGCTGTCGAATGAAGGCATTGTTGGATCCCAGAATAGAAAAGTCATGTTAATGGCAAACCTGGTGAAATCCCAGGGAAGTCTGTTGCTTTGCTGGTGGGCTGCATCAATATTAATGTCTCAGTTTTGATAAAGACACATGTTTATGTAAGATGTTCCCGTTGGGGGGAGCTGGGTGAAGGATGACTGGGAGCTTACTGTGCTCTCTTTGTGAAGTGACTGCAAATCTAAAATGATTTCAAAATAAAAGGTCTGAGGATTTTATAAGGAAAAAGGGGAAGCGGGCCTCAGATGTGCACACCCCGAGTTCACTTCCAGCTCTGAGACTGGCGCATCTGTGGTGTGTGGGCCAGGGAGAGACTGAGGACAGAAGGTGGACAATGAGCTCTGGACCTCAGCCAAACAGAGGTCCCAGGGCCTCTGTGGGGGCACAGTGCCAGAGTACCCCAGGCCAAGGCTCAGGGTCAGTCTCCAACTGAGCTGGCTCTATTCCCAGGCCTACTCCTAGAACAAATGGACACACATCCACCTGCTGTTTACAAAGAATCGGACCACACAGGACCCCGAGGTGCTGGAACCCTCCGTGGGAGAGGAATGAATTTCAGAGGACACAAGGTCTTGTGGTGAGCCCGTGAGCAAAGAGGCCTGGGGTAGGTGGTCTCCTCTGGGACTCAGAACTGAGATGGGCAGGCAGGGTGGCGGGGAGGGGTGGGGTGGGCAGGCAGCCTTCCCTGCTGATGAAGTTCAGAGCAACATCTTTCCCAAGAAGGACCCTATATTTTGGGTCCTGGGTTGACACGAGGACAGGGGTAGAGAAGGTGAACTATAGGTAGGAATGTGTCACTCAGTGCTACTTGGAACACAATCAGCTATAAAGTGTATATTTTCGGAGAGGACAGAGAAGAGGGCAAGTTCATTTTTAAACTCCAGGAAGGTCTAAGACTATAATATAAACGAAGTGACCTGAGTCAGAAAACTTGGTTCAAATCCCAGTTCTGTCGCTAAAATTGCTGTATGACCTTGGGTGACTTACTTAACCCAAACCTGCCTGTTTTTTTCTTCTGTAAAATGGAAAGAAATCATATCTATCCCAAAATAGTGATAAGGGATTAAATGAGATCATTTAAATGAAGGAGATTAAATATATTCAATGAAAACAACAGTACAGTAAAATATAGGAGTTCCTAATTTTTTCTTTCCTTTTCTTTTTTAATCCCAAGAAAAAGTGAAAATAACCAAACCCTCCAAACAATGAACAAACCTAACTTTTTTTTTTTTTAAATGAAGGATGGTTATATAAATCATGACACAGCCGTTTGGTGGAATATAAGTAGCCATTTAAAATGAAGGTTAGGAAGCAACATAGAAAAATGATCACAACACAGTGTTCAGAGAAAGAAACCAAGTACAAAACACACCAATTCAACCACGTCCACAACAAATCCCTGGAGAAATACGCACAAACACTCATAGTGGTTGGGTTGGGGTGAGCAGGGGTGGGCTTGCAGGTAACTTTCTCGTTTTCTAGAATGTTCAGAAACTAGGTTACATTTATAATAAAAAATTTTATTTAATAAAAAAAAAAACAATCCCCGAACCACAGCAGGAACAATTAGGTGTGACAAGAGCTGGCTGAGATACACAGGGGAGGGCGGAGGGAGAGCCACACCAGAAGGGCCAAGGGAAGGGGCGGGCAGGGGCGGAATGGCAGTGAAGCTCAGCCTTGGGCACTGTAGCCACCAAGGGCAGTCAGCTGGGCAGGGCTTTCCTGGATTTCCCTCCAGGTCAGGGCAGACAGAAGAGGAGCGGTGGAGAAGCTGGGGGTTTGTTGGGAGCAGTGGGGCTCCAGAATCCACAGTCCAAAGCTGCCCAGGGAGGCCACTTCAGTGCTATGCCCAGGACTGTGTATCGCCTGCTGTCACAGTCAGGAGCATTTTCAGGGGGCAGCTCCCCGGAAAGCTCCAGGAACCCAGACTCCCGGAACAAAAGCAGGCAGTGGTATTTGAGGTCCCTGTCACTGGGTCCCCAGTCCCCACCTGCCCCTCTTGGCCTCTGCTCTAGAGCACATTTCCTTGTCTCCCCTCCCTCCCTAGGCCACGTGGCCTGCAGGAGCAGGGCCAACCAACTGGCAGCAGTCACAGAACAAGAGTTTAATGGAAATCACGAAGGTGGGAGGAGGGGGCAGGGGTGGCATCACGGGTGTCCTCTCCGGCCAAGCCAGGCAGG